CCAGGTTCCACTGGGCTCTACATTGTCAGATTCATTTGTTCAAGAAAACGGAGTTCCTCAGGGGGGCATCCTAAGCGTCGCCTTGTTTGCGGTCAAGATAAATTTCGTTGCCAGAATCCTCCCGTCTTCCATCTCATACTGACTTTATGTAGAAGATCTTCAGATCTACTGTTCCTTTTGTACTAGTTTCACCTGTGATTAACAGATTCAATTAGCTCTAAGCAAACTTGATAGTTGGTGGTTTTAGGTTTCCTCTAGAAAAAACGGTTTAGGTGCCGCTTTCCTTGTGCTGTGGGCTGCCTTTGAATTCAGACCTTGAACTAAAAGCCACGCCGTTGCCTGTTAAAAGCGAGCACAGATTTCTGGGTGTGATCTTTGACAGGAAGCTTACTTTTATTTCTGGGAAAATGCTTTAAAAGTATGGACCTCTTAAAAGTTTTGGCACACAAGACTTGGGGATCAGATAGAAGATGTCTGCTGCACCTATACTCAAACTCGGCTCTGTTACGTCACGGTGCGGTGGTGGCGCGTCGGGTGCACTTCCGATCTGGGGCTGTGGACGGAATTCACCTTATAAGGTGTGCATTCCTGCATTGTTTTTGAAGAAACCAGACAAAAACCTGCCTTTTCGTCAAAACACCGCAACCAGGACTGTGCCGAAAGAATCGGGAAAGGTTTGAAGGTCAGTTTTTATCTGTTTTCTGCCAGAATCCTCCCGTCTTCCATCTCATACTGACTTTATGTAGAAGATCTTCAGATCTACTGTTCCTTTTGTACTAGTTTCACCTGTGATTAACAGATTCAATTAGCTCTAAGCAAACTTGATAGTTGGTGGTTTTAGGTTTCCTCTAGAAAAAACGGTTTAGGTGCCGCTTTCCTTGTGCTGTGGGCTGCCTTTGAATTCAGACCTTGAACTAAAAGCCACGCCGTTGCCTGTTAAAAGCGAGCACAGATTTCTGGGTGTGATCTTTGACAGGAAGCTTACTTTTATTTCTGGGAAAATGCTTTAAAAGTATGGACCTCTTAAAAGTTTTGGCACACAAGACTTGGGGATCAGATAGAAGATGTCTGCTGCACCTATACTCAAACTCGGCTCTGTTACGTCACGGTGCGGTGGTGGCGCGTCGGGTGCACTTCCGATCTGGGGCTGTGGACGGAATTCACCTTATAAGGTGTGCATTCCTGCATTGTTTTTGAAGAAACCAGACAAAAACCTGCCTTTTCGTCAAAACACCGCAACCAGGACTGTGCCGAAAGAATCGGGAAAGGTTTGAAGGTCAGTTTTTATCTGTTTTCTGCGTGCTCGGTTCGTCCGAGAACGTGGATAGGGCCATGAAAAAGGAAAGCCAGACGCCGTCAGACCACGATTGCTTGTGCGGGAAGCACTTTGGGTTAAAATCACGGATACTTGTGGTCGTCAGATTTATTTGTTTTATTCCAACATGAACGCGGGAAAACCGCAATGTTGTACGGAAGAGCGCGGGAACTCACACCGACGCCGATAACATTGCATTCCAATGGTTTGTTTATGGGCGACGCCAAGGTTTTGGCCCACACTTTATCGCGCATGCGTGGCGCTGGTGGCGTCCACTAGGGGCGCTCCGGTTTGTTTGTAAACATGAGTTGGTCTAAACAATTCCCTCGGGGGATCCCGTCTTGACTATGGTGCTATAGTGTATGGATCTACATGATAATCGGTTTTTGAAAATGTTAGGTTCAGTTCACCATCTTGGTTTACATCTCGCCACGGGCGCCTTCCGTACATTCCCCATACTGAGTTTATATGCCGAGCCCAACGAGTTGTCGTTGGATAAAAGACGGCAATATCTAAGTATGACATATGCCTACAAAACCTTAGCTAACCCTCGCCATCCAAGATAGGATTTCATTAAACGTTTCTCTCGCCTTTTCGAAAACAAGCCCAGCATCATGCAGCCGTTAAGCCTCCGCCTTGCAGACTATCATACGTCCCTTCAGATTTCTCCTAATGGAAGGCCCCTATTTTCACCAGTTGACTGTATTGCTCCCCGGAAAAGAATGCGGGTTTGTTGCGATTGGTCGCTTACAAAATATACTAAGCACTGCCTTACTTCGGTGGTTATGCTGCAAGGTTTTCTAGAGTTGCAGACAAGGTATGCTGATTATTGTCAGTTTTATACATACTGACGGTGCTAAGGCTCAGTCCTTCACTGGATGTGCCGTGCATTCTGAGAACTTTTCTAAAACTAAGCGCCTTAATTTGATCACCAGTATCTTTACAGCAGAACTGTATAGTGTTGTTAGCAGTTCACCATATTAGACTGAAGAGAACAGTAAGGTCAATTATATTTGTGGACTCGCAAAGTGTGATCACTGCAATTAGTTCCCTCAAAGACAGCAAAAATATGCTTCTACAGCTTGTGCATGCCAAAATGAATCGTGCATTGCAGCAGAATGGACATCATATTATACTTTGCTGAACTCCAAGTCATGTAGGTATATTGGGTAATGAGAAAGCTGATAGGTTTGCTTCTTCCTCCAGGAACCTTCTGCGGTTCGAAGCCTCCTTACCTTACCGGGATATCAAACCGGTCATGAAGGCATCAATGTTCCAGAGATGGCGAACAGAATGCGACGATGAATCTGATAATAAGCTTCACTTCACCAAGCCCATTCTTAAATTGTGGGAGAGTTCTTCTTTAAAGAACCAATTACACGAGGTCTTATTATGTCGCCTTCGCATGGGCCATTTCCACATAACCCACAAATATCTCCTCTGTGAAGAAGATCCTCCACGATGTATACACCACGGGGATATTGTTTCCATTCTACACATACTGTGGATTGGTTCCCGTCTTGATCAAAAAACGGCGGCATCATTTTTCTAAATTGTTTAGATATCATATACTTTTTCACCCTGTTCTTTTACTAGGAAATCACCCTGTTATCCCATTTGAATGTGTCCTCAATTTTATTTCTGGCAGTGACATTTTACGCCAGCTTTCATACCCATGATAATGACGAGCGACATCTTTTTCTAACCAGAATGTGAATGAACAACCCAGTTTGGCGCACTTTGGCCTAAGTAGCATTTTGCGCCATAAAGCCTCCGATCATCATCATGACGCGCCTTTTCTCACGTTTTGTCAAAATATTTGTGCACTGCGGGGAATTCGATTTTGTGTAGTCCCTGCCGGCTCCGGCACTAGAGTCCCGACAATGTCGTGCACAGCTCGTCTCGCCGACTCTGTACCCCTCGTTAAAGGGATGCTGAACCGAAATCTGGATTCTACAAAACACGTTGCAAAAGCGTGCAACGGGATGCTACAAATACCAAAACATCACTTATACAGCGATATCTCGAACGGATGACTGTATTTTTCAAGAAAAGGAGGCGCATTTGACAGAAATGTTCACGTCATGCTTCTCCGAAAAGGAGAGGGAATGGCCTCGCGTCTTCTCCGCCTCACCGCCTTGAGGGAGCAAAGCGAAGAGAGGAGGAAACGAGATATCTTGGACGTCACGTGCCTCATCGGTCTGGTTCAATCTCGACCTCTTTTTCCCAAAATACGGCCGTCCATTCGAGATATCGCCTTACGAGTAGTGTTGTAGGGATTGTAGCATCCCGCCTACATCTCCTGCATTGTTTTTTCTGAAATCCAAATTTCAGTTCACCATCCCTTTAAGAACTGCACGCACCTGCTGGCCCTCAGGGTCACAGTGGTAGTGGGATCCTCCGAAGTTCGCCGACACGGTCACGCAATTAGTTTTCCCGCGATCATCTCGGACACGAGCGTCGCCAGGAAGGAGCCTCCAGAAGTCCGCCGACACTGTCACGCTCGCTGTTACCACATGGACAAATGCGTAAGGAAATTGGAAGGCAAAAGGCACCGTGTTTCATCTTAGGCGGAGACTGGTTGGCAAGGTGTGTGGCAAAAAGGTTTGAGGTGCCGAGGAAGGAGGGGTTCCACGAGTCATTATCACCGCTTGTCATCTTGGCCCTCTGTTCTCGAGGCCAGAATAAGCTGTCGGCAGACTTTTGGCTCCTCTTTCCCGCAGACCATGATCGTACCCCCACCATTATGGGCTCCCTACATGTGGAGGAATGGGTCACGAGTCATATTCCCAGACTGGACACAGCATGGAATTCCCAAGACGATGATAACACGACAAATGACAGGGACAAAACAGTCTTGCGACTTGAACTGCATTGATTTCTGTCCAAGTGCAGTCACCGTCTATTGGGAACATGTAGGAGGTTACAGTCTAACCTCGTTATAACAGACCTTGGTTTTGACCAAAGTTTTGGTCTGTTGTAAAAGGAGTATGTTGTATGCAGATACGAAGTTGAGTCAATGGTATGTAGAGGAAAACAAACCGCACTTCACAAATCGGTACGTTGTATCCAAATGTCTGTTAAAACCTGGTCTGTTGTAATGAGCTTAGACTGTAGTAGGAAAGAGGGCGAGAGAAAGGCGAAGATTTGCGATTGTGCTTCCTCCACGTCGTGTGTGCCCGGCAGAGTGTGCAGCGAGTGGAACTTGCCTTTTGTTTGCGTTTTGAGACTGGATCCAAGATCAGATAAAATTCTGCATACTTACAATAGCAAATGGCACACATCCTAACTCTGGATAACGGCAATGCAGGAAGATATTCACCTAGCCAATGGTAAGGTGTGCCAAAAGTGTTTTTCATTTCTTAAGGGGCTAGCGGTGCCCGATGCCAATTTTTCAGAATGTACAGCTGCAGGAGTACAACGTTGGAAGCGAAAAACGGAGTTATAATGCGAGAGTATTTTGTCCGACAGCATAAACAGAGTGAGTGCCGGCCCGTTGCTCGGCCGGCCCGTTGCTCGCTCGCCGGCTAGGGGTGCCGACGAAAATCTTGATTCGGTGCACGCAAGGTGGCAGACATCCCACAAGCGTGCGCGTAGCACGTCGTCGTCTAGAATCAGAGTTCTGTAGTCGGCGCGGACGAGCCGGAATGTGTGGCATCTCTTTGAGACCATCTGTCTGTGGCAGGATGCGGCCAGCACGGAGGAGACCCCGGAGCCGGCCGGCACCACGGAGCCAGCGGCCAGTCACGCCACGCCGTGGGTGAGTCGGCCCAGCCCAGGGCCATTCCAAAGTGAACCATCTGGCTGAATGTAGCGAAGCACAAATAGGCCAGTTTGCATGTGTGATGCATGCGCTGGCGGCAGGTGCCACCAGGGTGCCACGGACGATACCAAGAAGGTGACTGGACTAGAAGCGCTCGTCCTGTCCGTTTTGACTGCAATTTGTGCTTCGCTAAGGCTGCTCGGTTCGCCGACGCTGCTTTGGAAAGTGAGGCAGACGTTAAGGTACTCGGTGTCGTGGCGGCGATGCCACCCTCGCATCCACGGTGTCGTTGCGTCCGGTCGTTCGACTTGAAGCGGTGCTATGTGGTGGCTTAAATGAGACGTGTCCCAGTCATCGGTGATACCGAATGTGCACATATCCATTCTAGCCGGGGTTTGTATTTTACTTAGCAAGGAAAAAAGAAAAGTTATTACCATTGTCTTAGAAGTGTGGCACAGCTCATACATTGGTGGGGCGGGGCTCAGGCGGGCATCGACACCACTCTGGATATAGGTGTGTGCCCTTTGGTGAAAAATTAAGGTATATGACTAGGAATGGGAAATAATCTAAACTGTGAGCTGCACACAGACAGCTTCAAAACAGACAGCAGACAGTTCGAGAAGAGAATTGGACTGCGTGGATTTACAAGAATATGCGTGCTTTTCGCTGTCAAGCTTGTTTTTAATATGAGATGAGCACATACCGTGGGTTTCGTTTTGTTGTTTAAAACAATTGGATATCCACGAGAACATGTTCTTTTCCAGTATCACTACATTGGAGCATACTCTGATAGCCACATAAAGGTTATTGTGCGTTAAACAAAAATAAATGAAGAATTGTAATCTGCAATTCTTTAGTTAGCGCAGGAGAGCCATGGCACCACAGAAAGGCTAATGGACCTTTTACGAGTAACGAACACCATCTGGGGGGAGTAGTCTGCTCTGTGCAAGTGAAGGGCAACCAAACATGCCTTTGCCTGTCGGAACACGTTGGCATTGCGTTATTGTATGTCGGTTTTCATTACCTTTTATGCCCCATACTAGAGACACTCAAAAAAAGAAATTAAAAACAGTGTGAAAAGACAAGGACCAGACGAAGAAGTAACACGGACGCAGCGCTGGATCCGTGTTACTTCTTCGTCTGGTCCTTGTCTTTTTGCACTGTTTTTAATTTCAAAGTATGTACCAATTCGCCCAAGCCTCCACTCAAAAAAGAATTGTCAGACCAAATATGTGCAAAGATTGATGCTGACGGTGTTTGTCGTGCGGGAGTGTGCCCTTTGAAAATGGCAACAGAGTAGGGTGACCCCTCAGAGTAGAAAACGAGACATTGAGGGAAAGCGGAGGAAAGGGAGAGGGTGAAGCGGGCAGAAAGATAAAGCTCTACCACTAGTATTTAGTTCACCGGGAAAATGCTTTTTTCTGGGGTTTTCGTTGAGTAGTTGAGTATGCACGCTCCTTTCTTACACATTGTTCAAAACCTAAGCATGCCAAACTTCATGATATAGAAAAATGCCTCACGCACACCTGTTTGTGAGCAAAACATATCGGCAAGTGGATCCACAGAAAAAGCAGAAAAGTTTACTCTGCCTGAGATAACATTTTTCTACTACCGTAAAATACCAAGCAAGTACCCACTCAAAATTTAGAGATAATCGTGAAAAGATGGGGGATGGGCACTTGTCTGGTCATCAATTTTACATATCAATGTACAGTGTAGATCGCATATAACGTATGTCGCGGGAGTCGCGAAAATCCGCACCATAAGCGGTACCGCGCTACAACCAAAACATCATTTTTTCAGGCCAAAATACATGCCATCAGACAACTTACCTTCGTAAAAGAAGTTATTTTATGTTAGATGAAAAATAAAGCTTAGTTTGAGGAAAGTCTTTATTTCACCAGGCTAGTACACTTCTCTCTCAAGTGTGTCACACATTTTGAAAGAAATGAGTGACTTTTGCCTGGCGCAGCCTTTTAACGGCGTCGCGGGTTGCGGACGGACATTGTGAGCGTTCAGGATGGCTAATCCTAATCACTTTTCTCCGGCGATGAAAACGCGTGAAAATTTGCATCCTTTATACGGTATGCGCCAGTAATACCTTCAACTTGAGCACAGGCATGAAATGCTCCAAATAAGAAATCCGGGCGATGTTCGAAAACACAAATGCTTAGAAAACACCACTGTAGTCGAATTAAACAAACACGACGACACGGGCGTTTTTGCCGTCTGAGAGTGCCGCCACAACATCGCCGCACGAGTAGGTGGATCTTCCCTTCTATTACGTGCTGGGTTATCATAGCGACACGCAACGAAAATTCACAGTCAAGGATAGCGCTTTTACGCGGAACGATGAGCTCCCACCACGCCGTCTAAGTCGACGATCACAACCGACGCCATGTTCGCGAATAGAAGCAGCCGGCCCGCGACCGGCATGCGACACACGCGAACACTTTCCCTTGACCTGCGATTGGTCTGTCGTTGCGGTTGTTTGTTTCCAACGCAGTGGAGGGACGCACGCACGTGAACGACGCGTGCGTGCTTCTCTCCGTCGTTATCTCAACTGAAGCCTCTCTCTTGGCTTCTCCCCGCTTCTTCGAGCAACCTCCTGGCCCTGCGAGTGCCGCTTGCGGCTCGTGCCATTATCTAGTGTCGCACAGGAAAGCGTGCTCGCTGCGCGTCGGCGCGGTCGGCGGGCTGTTCCAAAAACCGCACTATAACCGGTATTTCCCTTCGCGCGCCTGCATTTTAAGCGGTATGTAAATACATAGAGTTCTATGGGAGGCGAACCGGTGGTTTAAAAAAGCTGCGTTATACTTGGTTCTGCACTATAAGCGGTTACGTTGTAAGTGGTCTATACTGTACTGTGTATATTTTCTCAGCTCTTACAAATTTGGGAATGGGCACTTAGTGTGAATGGGCGGATGCATGGTATTCTACGGTATGTTTATTCTAATCCACTGTCACGAGTATGCATTTTTTGTTTTTTTCCACTCGCATGGTTTCACAAGTTCCCATGAAAACGGGACATTTGGCTTTATTCAGATAAAATAAGGGGAGGAACGGTATGAACCTCTAATATGGGACTGTCTCAGCAGGCCTACAACGGCGGGAAGGAAGTATAGGGGAAGGGTGCATGCGTGCGCGCAAGTTTACTGAAAAAAGTTCCATAGCATTCCTGCCTTGATTTCTTTAAACTAATGACTATAGTAGAGTGTCTGAATAGTAATGTATACTTCCGCATTGCTTGTAACGCAATTCTTTATAAAATGGCACCACTGCAACTGCTGCACATGCCAAGTTGTGTATGTGTGGCAGATGGCACGCACACAAGCGGAAGACATGAAACAAAGAAAACCATTCGTGCGAGCATGTAGGTCATTAACAAGCGGGCAAATCCCACCAAATTGAGGTGCGTAATGTCGAGGTGTTTATGGGTTTCTCTTTTTCGAAAGAGAATCAAAGGTTGAATATGAGTGAGTGTAAAAAATAGCATCAAAGACAAACAACTTGATCTACCTTCAGCATTTTGAAAACCCAAGACTGGGCAACAAAGGGTTGGAACGAAGCGAACGAGGATGCCGTGCACAGTGCTTTACACTGAGGATGCTGTTCATAGTGGGCTGCTCTCAGATTGATTTCCGGTGCAGGCGCCGGAGGTTCCGCAGTGGTCCGTCCAGGACACAAGTTCTCAAGGGGGGGACCAAGCCGGGATTCTGGCTGGCGCCGAAGGTGGGACTCGGGAGCGGAGGAGCCAAGATATGATCGTAGACATCCAAGAGAGGATCCAAGAGACCTCCCAAGAGCCGATTCATGAGCCGATTCAGGAGCCAAACCGGGAGGCGATGCCGGAGCCTTACCAGGAACCGATGCAGGAGGTGGTCCAGGACAGCTTCCAGGAGAGGCCTCCGGAGGTAGAGGCGTCCCAGGACAACCCCAAGGAGGCGGTTCCCCCGGGGATTCCCCATGGGACGTCCCCCAAGCGGGTGCGGATCTTCGAAGGGGGCTTCAAGTCCAACGAGGCATACACGTACGTGCGGGGCCGTGGCCGGGGCAAGTACGTGTGTGAGGAGTGTGGCATCCGCTGCAAGAAGCCCAGCATGCTGAAGAAGCACATCCGGACTCACACGGACCTGCGTCCCTTCTCGTGCCACCACTGCTGCTTCGCCTTCAAGACCAAGGGCAACCTGACCAAGCACATGAAGTCCAAGGCCCACCACAAGAAGTGCACGGAGCTGGGCATCCTGCCTGTGCCCACCACGGTGGACGACTCCACCCAGGTGGATGCAGACACCCTGGCGCGGCAGGAGCAGCAGCAGCGGGAGATCTCGGAGGAGGACGACGAGGACGATGATGAGGACGAGGACGACGAGGACGAGGACGATGAGGAGGATGACGAGGACGACGAGGACGAGGAGGACGATGAGGAAGAGGAGGAGGAGGAGGAGGACGACGAGGGTCGCCCCATGCTGCTGGGCCCCGTGCACGGGTGAGCCCCTGGGGATCACAATAGGCGGGTCCTTAGGGAACAAATTTTTTGACTATGGACAGGAACACGGTATATGCCGTGCAACCATGTGCTATCCAAGGCAAAAGGCTTGCATTTGAGGCGTCTACTGGGTTCTCAGCCTGTCACCAACTACAGAAAGGAGCGTGGGGACAGAAAGGAGAAGCAAAGTTTTTAAGATACCCTGGGCAAGCTAGTTTTTGCACAAACTTAAACGAAAAAAGTCGTCCCTTTTTTGTTCGAATCTGGTTTTAAATATGCGAGGCAAAGTTGGTCCTGTTACGTGATATGCAGACTTTCTTACGCAAAGAACAAAGCACCACAGTGTGGCTGCTGGCAGAGATGACGACGTTGGTTTCAGAGCCTACCGTTAGGTTTCCATTTTGGGTTCTTTCGGCTAAAAAAGAGTTTTTCTTATTAACAGGCCAAAGTTATCTCTGCCTTCGGGCGTTTGGTAGGCCATTTCCGAGGGTAAAATTAAGTGTCCTTGTCTCTCTTCGACGGAGCAAATGGCCTGATAGTTAACTGGTTTCCTGGATCACATCCACCAAGTTCGAAAGTAACTAAAGGTGGCCAGCATAGACTTATTGCAGTCGGCCTCCGGAAAGGGTTTGGCAGCAATGGCCCATTTGCCAAGCGAGTCGAAGGGGCCGCGTTCCAAATGTAATAGATCGGAATCATTCGCATGGGACATACCACACGATAACGCAGAGGAAACGACGCCGGACGCGAGTCGTATGCCTTGGAATGCCAAGGTACGAAACCTTTACCCCGGAGCGACGTGAAGCCGATTTAGGAAGGCGGCGGATGTGCGTCCCACGCAGGAGCGGCGCGGAGGCGGCGGAAGAGCAGGAGGCAGCGCACAGCCTGCTGCACCTGTCTGCGGCCCCGGAGCACGCCTGGCCCCTGCCCCGGCCTCCGTGCGAGCCCCACCGGCCCCGGTCGCTCTCGATGGACCTGCACGAGCGGGGGCCCCCCGAGGAGCCCGCCCGGCGCTATTCCATGTCCTCCCTGGGCCGGGACGAGGGCCCCATGGACCTGAGCACGGCCCGACAGCGCCGCCTGGAGATCCTGCCGGGTGGCATCGTGTCGGGGCAGAATGTGCGCTCCTTCTCGCGCCTGGCCCTGGAGGGCGAGCCCGCCTCCGAGGAGGGCCGCTGCTCCATCTGCCACAAAAGCTTCGCCCGCGCCAGCCAGCTGCGCATGCACGTCAACATCCACTACTTCGAGCGGCCCTTCCGGTGCGAGGCTTGCGCGGTGTCCTTCCGCACCCGGGGCCACCTGCAGAAGCACCGGCGCTCGGTGAGCCACTACAACCGTCTCAACATGAACCTGACGTTCGGCACGCCCACGGCGGAGAACCCCCGGCCCTTCAAGTGCGAGGACTGCAAGATCGCCTTCCGCATCCACGGCCACCTGGCCAAGCACCTGCGCTCCAAGATGCACATCCTCAAGCTGGAGTGCCTGGGCAAGCTGCCCTTCGGCACCTACGCCGAGATGGAGCGATCGGGGATCAACCTCAACGAGATCGACACCTCCGACTGCGACCACTCCCTCGAGAGCCTGCAGGTGAGTGACTCCCCCTTGGCGCTTCTTTCTCCATGGCAAAGTATAGGCCATTGCTCTACCCTCAAGGTGCTATTCTTCTAGGGTAGTGGTAAAAATCTTTCTTGACCCCTTTCAGTGTCTCCATTGTCAAGTACCTAGTGCAGTGGTTCTCAACCATTGATGTTTCGCGGACCATTTGTGGATTGGCAGAGATGATAAAGGACCCCGTTTGTGTTGCGGGAGAAGTATAGGTTAAATATGATAATGATTTAATAAATGGATATAGCTAAGGGCTAGTGTGAGGTAGACTTCTCTCATTGACATTCACACGAAAAAACTCGCCCGAAAATTGGAATGTTTGTCTTGATCTGAAAAAAGCCAATTTTTATTGTCAGGCTTAACTGATGAGGCAGGGCTTCGCGGACCCCCATTTGAGAAGCACTGACCTACCGTAAAATACCGTGCGTCCGCCCATTCCACATTAAGCGCCCATATCCAAATTTCTAAGATCTGAGAAAATATGCACAGTACATTTATATGTAAAATTGATGACCAGACAAGTGCCCATTCCCTATTTTTTCGCGATTATCTCTAAATTTTAAGTGGGCGCTTGCCCGATATTTTACGGTAGGCTGTGTTCCAAATCTTGCTCAAATGGATCCGAGTTACTCCCGCGGATCATCTCACGTGGCACGACAGATAGAGAAATGGTAGACGCGGGTAGGTTTTCGAATGCCGAGGTACCAAACCTTTACCCTAGAGTGAGATTGAGTCAATTTTTTGGAACACAGCCCTAATGCATTGCCTTGAATCAACGACAATAGACATAAGAATGCTGGGAAATCAACGTGGAGTCAGAACCTCCGTGCAAAACTTTGGTTACGCTATGTACATGGCTTTTTCTTTCAGTTGGGAATGTTTCTGCTTTGATGTCAGCTTTTCAACTTAAAGAATAAAAGTATGCAAACACTTTTTCTCTGAAGTGGAGAAGAAAATGTGTGTCGCAGTTGCTGCAAGAAAGTTTCTAGAACGGGGGTTTAGGGGGCAATGCGAGGGATTGGATCACGGAAAATGTAGCTTTCTTTTCGAATGTGTCTGCTGCGCTCATAGAGGTAGAGCTGCGAGTGACGCCAATAGCCTTGGTTTCACTCAGACTCACACTTCAGGCACTCCTGCTTTTGGCAGTCCTACTCGGGGCACTCTAGCCACGGCCACCTTAGGCACTGTGCAGGGTGGTGAGCCCGGCCACTCCCCCGCAGGTGCTCGCCCAAAAGATGAGCGGGGTGTCCTCCCCGGAGGAGCCCGCCCCTCCCCACGAGGAGCGCTGGGAGGGTGGGGCCCTGCGGCCATGCCCGCTTTGCGGCCGCCTGCTCAAGAGCGCCAAGTCGCTCCAGGTGCACCTGCACTGCGACCACCAGGAGGCCGAGCCCTGCTGCTCCATCTGCCAGCGGCACTTCCCCTCACAGGCACAGCTGCAACAGGTGGGCCGCTGGGGCGCCGCTGGTCACACCCTTTGCGTCGGGCTTGCACCAGCCGGGCTCACATTTTGCTCGGAGCAAGAGCTGATTTTCGGGATGCGAGATATTGTTTGCAGACGGTTTGTCCATTAACGCGAGCGAGGGAACCGGGTTCTTTTGCTAAGGAGAGTCATTCGCAGACTGAGATAGATCAAGAAAGTATGTCGCTTGCTAATAAACTAAAAAAAAAAAGTAGATTGTCCGCTAAATACCGAGTGCCGCGATGAAGTGAGATCAGACTCGGGCTGAAATTGGTATTGTCTGCTATTTCACGTTGGAAGCAGTTGACAATGTGCGCTTCCCTCGCAAATATCAAGTTGTTCCGCTGTCGTACTCAAGCAGACGTCGACCAGTGCACGAATTACCACTTGGGACAAGTACATCAAAAACATCTCGCCATCGCCGCATCGGCAAGAGGTTCTCACCAAAATACTGCCCAATGGTGGACTTTGAAACAAGTAAAAAATTTCTCATTTGTCAGTTACGCGCACCCAGCAGCAAGCTGCGATGCCACCTTCAATGAGTAGCCAAAAATGCTCTCGCTCGCACCTTCGCCAAAATCAGACCCCCGGTCCCAATACGACGATGTCGGGGCCAGGTTGCCTAGTGACCCTAGATGGCTGCATTCCGCCGCAAACTGTATAGAGCGCAAGTTTGTCTGCTTCTTGCACAAATGTTGCGATGATGTCAGAACGCCGAGCTCTTATTGGCTAATTGAACAAAATAGTGGGGAGACCTCGAGGCATCTAGCATTAAATTAAGGTCTATCCACTATCCTGTCGATCAAAGCCAGTCAGAGTTTGGCGTTGTTCTGACGTCACCACAACATCTGAAGCAGAAGCAGACTGCTTTCTCCCCGCATAGTCTGTTGAGGTTTCACTCAGACAAGGAAAGCAGCACAAGCTCCTCCCACAAGGACATCATATTAGCAGAGCGAATGCTGAGGAGGAAATTACCAATCGTGGCAAGCAGAGAGGTGCTTTTCCTGGTTTTCTTCACCTGCAACTGACTATAGTCGAGTTGCTTTAGGTTTCACAGGCGTATCGACTCCAAACTGGGCAGACTCTCGCCTGTACGGTCCCTCATTCTGCGCATTGTGCGTCGATACCGCCCCCTGCAATAAGGCTAGCCAAGTCACCAACGAGTCTTACCGTGTACTTTGCTCCCGTAGTTTCTTAACCTTCGCCGTAGGAAAACTGTTTACTGCGAGGATTTCCGAGAGTAGAAGGATACTGTCGGTGAATTTGCTTAAAGTGCAGCTTCATCAGCACAGCGAACCGTACATAGTAGTTTCATTGTTGACCGAATATTCTTAAGTGTGAAACGAGGAGACCGTTAAATTGTTGGGTTTTGACGGCCATAGTTACTGCTTTTGCTGCGTCGTTAAAGGAAGTGGGGACGAAGGAGATAGTAATCGCTTGCCGGATCATGCAGCCATAGCCCTCCTGAATCCGTGCAGGTCTCAACCTTCTCCCTTGCTTTAGCTTATCTCTGGAGCTACAGTGGACTCCTGTTTCTCTGAGCGTCCTCTCCCGATGTGAATCAGTAAATGAGATGGCTGCAATCATTAAGAAATTGCTTATGGAGAACTAAACAGGGCCAACACACTTTGTAGGAAAGGTTGTGACCCTCACATTCACTACATTGTGGCAAGCAAGCGGAAAACATAATATGTACAGCCCCATACAGTCATGCAGGTTAATGAGTTCCGCATGACTATGCATCCATTCCTGGAGTTACTTATTAACGTGTTGTGGCAGTAAGACAGCAACAAAATCTGCAATCCATGTCTGTGATAAGAGATGGCTGCGGTTGTTTTAAACGTAAAAACAACCCAAAATCACATTCTGACCGCGGTGTTCATTAGGCGCGTAAAGTGAACGAGCTCCAGACTCCAGACACCTGTGCTTGAGTGCGTGGGTGTGGAGCCTAGTTTAACAGCCGCACCGAGGCCCTTACGATTTTTTTTTTTTTTTGTATGTGGGGATATTCCAAAATTGATTATACAAGCAAGCCTCGTTCAGACAGTTGCATTTTTTGCGTTCAGAATTACCAAAACGACACCAGCGACATAACCACGGGAAAACCGTTTGGCGCACATGATGTGACAATACGCAACTGTTGCAAGACAATCTCAGGCTGCAAATGTTCCAGCGTCTGTCCTTTCAGTTGTTTGGGGCGCAACCGACACAAATTTGTGAACCAACCCTCAACATTGTAATGGAGGGTGCCATAAATCGAGAAAATTTTACAGCACCCGTTATAGAAGCAGGTGGTGCAGGTTGTGTCATTTTATACTGCTCAGATAGTCCCAGTAAAATGCTGCAATTATTCCAAGATTTGCCGTAAGCACTCAAGATTAAAACGAAAGCAACGCAGTCCATGCGTTTCCTTTGGTTGGTCTTCCTCTTGATCGCACAGCAAGACTTGGCAGTAGTGCGGCATCACTTTCAGCCCATTGCAGCACTCTGCCCTTAGCTTCAAGCATGAGCTGCCACGTTTGAGGCTACAGGAGGAGGTTGGCACAATGCCCGACAGATGGCGCGCAAATTTAAATAAGGTCAGGGCCGTATATTGGGGAGAGTCTGGCCACTAGGCATGGCTACGAAGATGCTGGAGAGGAGGAAAGTGAAGGAAAGGGGGAGAGCGCCGAAGGAGGGAGTAAAGAGGAAACGACCACCATTTTGATGCAACACACTTTCGGCACTGGGCACCATTGAGGCTATGCGTCATCTGCTACGGGTAGAATTCTTTTTCACCCAAATAAACGTTTGCGGTCAAACGTCGAGAAAACTTCATTCGTTAGCTTTTTAACCCAGTGAGGAATAACACTATATATCATTTCCTCACAAGAGCCAGCAAAATCGACGGAAAGAAGCAAAATTTTCATGTTGATCCCTAGCATTCCACCGGGTGAATGAATGAAAATGGCGGCCCTCCCCGCGCAGCTGAAAGCAGCCGGGAGTTCACGCGCATGCACTCGCACCTTGCACTCTGCGCCGCGGGCTGATTGGCTCACTCGGGAGGGGGGGGTGTTACGGCTGCGAGATCAAAAACTGGCCAAACTCTCCCAATATACGGCTCCGAATAAGTAAGAAAAGCCAGCAAAAGTGTGCCTCAAGAAAAAAAAAGTGTGGCTGCACTGGGTTGTTTACACATTCCGCGACATTAGCTTCGGGGGTATCGGCTGTTAAGATATCAAATCACAATTTAAGTTATTGTAAGTGTTACTTCGTTTTGGAAATATTTTTCATCACTAATGTGGGTGGCACTTTGTAATCTTAGTATGCTGTTATTGGCCTTAACTTTAGGGTGCAATAACCGAAGTATTCCTCACTCTTTTGATCAGCCAGAAACAAGGACTTAGTTTAAAAAGACATTGAGCCCATTTCTTGTTATTAAAACCAGAAACTACACAAGTTCCCCATCATTGTAAGTTGGACCCGTGGACAGTGGTTGGCTCTGCTTCAGTCCGGTCACTGCAGACGGTGAAAGCAGTGATCAGGAAGCTATAAAGAAAGAGTCTCGTGAGCTTCCCAAAAAACACCCCAAATATATAGAGTTATTTTAAAAAGGTCTGCATTCCAGATGTTTTTCTTCATACATTGGCCTGTCCTGCTCACCCAGTCTGTTGATAGCAGGGGAAGACAAGAACGCCGTCGTCAGTTTGGCGCTCATGTTACCACAAACTACATTGCCATAATTTTGATAGTCCTAAAAATGATTGCCACTCCTTTTCACTGGAAATCTATGGTCTCCGAGACTCCCATTCTGGTTATACAAGTTATTCCTGGAGATTGCAACTCTGCAGGCATGCATTGCATGTTGACAGTTCATCAAAATGCCTCGCTCAAGCAAAGATGCCTCGCTCGCCAAAGCACTGGTCATCCCTGTTCATACTTATAGGAGAGAGGCTAAGTATATCTAAGGGCAAATTGACATAATTATATTGGTAATAATTATAATCTGAAAGCTGGCAGAGATTGTCTCACTGGTGTCTCCTAATTAGTGAGCCAAGGCATTCAGTGAGGACGCTGAGCAACTGGGAGGGAAGAGCGGTCCCTTAATCGAGTTCCCCTTTAAATAATCCGCAAGACGAGAGACCAAAAAGGTCACCAGACACTGTTGGGTGCACCAGTGTTCCGACGACAATCTGACGTTCAGTTGGGTGGCATTTAGATGAATATGCATAAGAATGTCAGTCGTTTCTGAAGATTCCAGAGGGCCATGTGTCTTGGATAACTCCCTGTGAATAGCACAGAGTTTACAAGAATTCAGCCAGTTCCTTGTCCGCAGTTTTCCACCTGGTGCAGCTTTGATCTCGGAGGAATAAATGTCGACACAACTCATTTCTGGATCTGTGTCGGCATTGGCCCCACCGTCTCCGTGCTGAAGATTTTACAATTTCCTTTGTACTCCTCTTCCAACAAGTATACAAGTCACACTCAACGCTTACACCTACATGTGGTCACTCCACAGTTAAAGGGGTTGCCATAATGCTTCAGCTACTGCCCATATGCAAATCGCCGGTCAAAGCCATATTGACAAAAGATGTCATTGCAAACACACACACATGGTCATTAGGGGTGCAGGAGCCATGTTGACTGTCAAAATCTGCTTTATTGCATGGACTACATCAGAAATACAATGTAGTAGAACCTAAACCCCTCAAACAATGAAGGGGCTCATTCTACATACACACTAGTTACAACAAGTGCCCACCAGTCGGCAATGAAAAAAGCACAGGAGTCCCGTGTATGCGTCGACATTTGCAGCCAATATATCACTGAACCTTAAGTTCTTGTGCTAGGGGTGCGGGAAAAAAAAAACAGTATGCACAAAATGAGAACTGCAAAGTGTGGTACCAAAGCCGCCTGTATACTCTGTGCCTGGCAGACGGAGGGGAGAACAATAGCGGGCGCCGTCGAAAAAGTCGCGCGCCACCGCCGCCCCCGATCGTGGGGGCGCCACCAACGTTGCCGCCGTAGCAGACGACGCGAAAGGCGCAACGCGTTTAGAAGCACTGGCAAGCCATGCCAAAATGTTTAAAACACGAGTTTTAGCTCCCTCGGGCGTACGGCGAGTGTAGCTACACGATCTGCATGCGCTCGCTTTGCGTGTAAGAAAGATTCGAAGTAAATTAAAAAAAAAAAAGGTACCAACGAACGCGCGTGCAACATTCTATTTCATCTAGAACTTTTTTTTTTTTAAATTACTGGTGCTGACGCCAGCACGTGCTGCGCGCGTACTTACAGTCCCCGCATGCACCTATACTTCGTTTCACCTTATGTGCGAGCGAAGGCAAAGCTGGAAGCGCGAACACGGAAGGTCCGTGCGTTCAGGCTTTGCTCGAGCGCGCAAGCTTGAGAGAAACACACAAACGCGCTGGTCTCACGCTTCTAGCTTTGGCTTCGCTCGCAGCTAAATTGAAACGAAGTGTAGAAGCTTGGGTAATTTAGCACAGCATCCTTTTGAGCCGGGTTCTTTCCGTTTAGTTCTGAGCAAGGCTCTTGTGTAAGCTCTGCGTTTTTACAACCGCAAAAATATGCCAGAACGAAACGAAGTCGAAGCGTGCCGCTATCTTCGGGTGCCGTCAAGTAATCAAATTTGAAGTTAAAAAGTGAAAGCATGCAACCCTTGCGATAGTTAATACTTGTTGAGAGAAACTACATGACAGGTCATTTTCGGAATTTTCGCGCACCAATATCACGAAGTTTAAGCAGTGCGCATGACGCAATGGTTCTTTGAACTACGCGCACATGCGTCTATAAGTGAATTTATTCATTTATTTATTTATTTAAAATACCCTCAAGGTAATAATACATTGAAGAGGGGAGTGGACATCAAAATAATAATTACAATGTGCACGTGTTAGTAAGAACTCTCTTAAACAGAACAATATCAGTAATATTAGGTATGGAGACGGGAAGGTGGTTTCAATCTAATGATGTTTGGGGAATAGAAGAATGTTGAAACAACGGAGTTTTCAAATTTGGCATACCGACTTTATGACTATGATCAATGCGAGCAGAGATATAGAATGGTGTGATAATTAGTTTACGACGAAGGTCAGCATTTTGATGAAATATTTTATGGAAAAGACACAAGCGAAAGATTTTACGGCGATGGGTTAGTAATGGCAGACCTAAATAGGTTTTTATGCTTAAAGTAAGTATAAAACAAATGTAGTTCTGAATTCCTCTAGCATTCCCTTTTTTGTTTTCTTTGAACACTTGTTACAGAAAACAGAAGTGTATGAATCGGCAGTTGGAATATTTTAAATTGCTCTATTTATCCCTCAATTATGCATGGGTTTGAATTCAATAGTTCATAATTCAAAAGGCAATGTTTTATTTATTGGCTCGAGCAGTATGTTTTCAATGGACGTAGAAAAGCAGAACGGGCATCAGATTCTAACTCTTGGCCAACAAGAAAAGCAGCAGAGCGGAGAACGATCGGGAGGAGAAAACAACACGCTTTTCTAGGCGTGAACGCAAGGCTTTCCGACGGGAAGAACCCGACGCAACACGCAGCTCCACTCACGCCGCTGCCGAACGACGCCGATCCCCAACGTGCGTGACGCCGTCTCGCGGCTGACACGGGCGATAGGAGAGGAGGGGGTGAGTGAGGGAAAGGAGGAAACACGACGGCCTCGAGGCGCGCTTCTGACAGGCACAGAGTATACAGGCGGCTTTGGTGGTACCCAACGTTGGTTTTCTCCAAAGACTATAGTACTCTCGGCGTCCTCTCCCACCCTGTCAGGGTAGTGTAGAAGGGAAGGCTTTATGCACTCGAGCAGAAGTAAAAAAAGTACATTTGCTTTTACCCTAGTGTGGGCGAAACACCCTCAAGGGTGCTTGGCCCACGCCCCATGGAGCTAGCACGGGGCGGACTTCCAACAACTCTCCCCCCTGTGCAGCACCTGGTGACACACACCCAACCCCGGCCGTACGTCTGCGACCGGTGCGACGCAGGCTTCACCTCGGCGCCCCTGCTGGCCAATCACAGACGCTGTTCCCACCCGGAGGCGGTCCTCTGAAGGAAGAAAAACAATGGGGGACCCCCCCCCATCACCCGGTGCTGTCCATACATGTACATAGGGCCCCACGCCCCCACCCTTCGCCACCCCCGGCTTGTACATACGTTGGTTTGTTAGTTTGTTAGAGACTGCTTGGTTGACCAATAAAGACGCCCTCTTGCGACTGCTGGCTCATCTCCCGCTTGGCCTCCGAGAGCAGCACGTTCACCAGCGAGTGGCGGTTGGACGGCGTGCGCCCGGGGATTGGGGGGTACGGGTGGCCTGGTAAGAAAGGGCGGGCTGCGGTCAGTGGTCTGCCCGAGGCTCTCGACTTTGCATTCCGACATGCAGACATGTCAATGGCTCTGCTCCAAATTACTCCCGCAAGTTGTGTCGCGCGATAACAAAGATGGAGCACGGCTGGACACGTGTAGGTTTTCTTTTACTCGGGAGGGAGATCGAGTTAATTTTGGAATGCGGCCACTGGCCACATTTTGCAATCACTTAGGGCACCACCATGGCAAAATGTGCCGTCTGTGCCAAAGAGTTGTTCCGTCGTGTTCTTGCTTTAAAAAGCGACCGAACATGCATGGCTGGCCCTTTTGTTATTTCTATTACACATGACAGCTGAACCTTTACGTCATTCCAAGTCTGTTTTAAGTTTGAGCTATCGCATCCGCATTTGCTATCTCGACCCTTCCACGAGCTGTATGTGTCCTCTGTTTCTTTTGCCTCATTGCCCGACCTATTTGCGATGAACTTCTCCAATGAAGCTCTCTGCTTTAATGCAAAAGGACAGAAGTGCACGTTGCATGCTATTTGATGATTTCAAAGGAAAAAAAAGAAGGTTTACTTAAATCTTTTTAACAGAAAAAGAAATTAATAATAATCACCATGATCTAATGTGTGAAGTGCGAGTTGTGCAGCATGCAGACTTTAAAGGGTTATAGTGTGACACATCATGTTTTTCCACTAAATTTAGCTCACAGCAGTCGCATGCCACCGACCCTGCACTCATGTCGCAACCAGACGTCGGTGTCACTGCGACATTAAGTTACCGTGTCACTCGACACTGGCGAAGTACCTGGAGTGCGACACTTGACGTCAAACTATGTGGTCACATGACACTACGATGTCAAGTCAAGTTGGTAAGTGTTGAACATGATGAAAAATCGTGCACAAAGCGACAAGGACAAAAGAGGAAGGAACACAGACAGGCACGTAGTGACAACTCTGATAGAAAAGGTGAAGCAAGATGAAGGTGAAAAACGAAAAAAGGATGATGATGCAAGACTCGCGTCATGAGTCTCGCTTCATCCTTTTCTTCATCTATTATACCAGAGCTGTGAGTATGCACCTGTCTGTGTTTTCTGTTCCTTTCTCTTTTGCCCTTATCTCTTTGTGCGTGATTTTTCATCATGTTCTTCGCTGCTCTCTATTACTTGAAAATCGGCCCATAACGGCACTTTGTTTTAAAAGTTTCTTTTAAATGCCACTTCTTTCCAAGTCGTCACAATGCCTCCCGGGAGAAAGGAGCTGACCAAAGAGGACATTGCCAAACAGAGGCGGCACCCCACCAGGGCTCGGCATGTTCGTCGTGCCAATAGGAGAACTGCGAGGGAACGATTGCATTGGATGAATTTAGCCCTCTTGTGAAGAACGTCAAAATGGCATTGCATTTCGACATAGTCTGCAGCACAGCACAGCAGAAACGCAGCCCCGTCGTTTTCTTTTGAAAAATTCATATTTGCATACTCTCGGTTTGCAAATATGACCTATGGGCAGCTGGCATAATGCGACATGTTAAGAAACCCTTGGAAGGGTCCAGCACGTCCCGTCGGGTGCACGCCGCACAGTTTCTGGCACGAGCATGCTCGGAAGGCATCAAAAGCATGCGGAGGACGTCTCCCAGACCTGCGAGCTCGAGGGCCACCCAGTTGTGGCGGTAGTGGGGGAAGGAGCCCATCTGGTTGTAGCGCTCGTTGAACGGCGTGGGCAGCACGTGCAGCGCCGTGTAGGGGCCTTCCCACGACTCCAGCCGTGGCGCCAGCACCTTGAACAGCTTGTGCACCAGCTGCTTCTCCTACAACCCGGTTGTGCAACCTTTCACTATCAACCAGTCCAACGAGAAGCCCCGCATTTGTACACTTAACCCTTTCAAACGCTATGTACACAAGTGTGTGCATCTAAAACGCTCTCTCTTTTTTTTTCTTTTTTTTTCGGGACTATATTACATAGTGAGTCGTTTCAACAATATTAGCGGAATTCTATACACCATGTCTGACAACCAGTTTGTAAAAATAAATTTGCGAAAATATTTTTTGCAAAGAAAGATTGTGAAGAAAATTTCTTCAAATAAATGGGGAGCGGCGTTTGAAAGGGTTAAGACCCGCGCTTATAGGAAAAAGAATGCATATCGGTCGCACCATTGTATAGAGTGCGCCGACAGAAATTTACGAAAAAAAACAGCGACTTATACGCCAGAAAATGCGGTGTCTGATCTCTGAAACCATAATGTTGGAAATCTGTAGCAAACCAGAACCAAGTGTTCAGTCAGCACCATTACAGAGGGGTCACATTGCAGCCCTCCTTGGCTGCTGTTGCTTCAAACATCTCCAAGTCCTTGGAGTTGCTCACCCATTCAGAGTCGCACTCAACCCTGGCGATTCGTGCTGCTCGCCGGCAACCCCAATATTTCCGGAAAAATTGCACCGTCTTAAGTCGGCCTGAGAGTTGTGCACGAGGGTGTAATTATCCGAGCTAGCACCGTACGGGTTGCAACCTGTCGGCGAGGGGTCAACAGAGAGTCTGAAAGGCCAAGAGGATGGCATCAGTGTTGAGACAAGCTCAGCAAAGCAACAACAACGGGGAAACTTTGTTTCGGGTATCTAACATGAGGAAATGCTCTTCTGGGGTGAACCTGCCGCCTGCTACAGGATGGTTACTGTTTTTGTTAGTGTGCTTGCGTTGTTCCTTGATCCCACTATCTAGAATGCCGTTCAATTTTCTGGCAAAACGATGCCATGCCACGATTGTGGCGTTCCCAAATCTGCCTGTGTCTGTCAAATTTCTTTGTAACATTGCTGCTGTGCACGTTGGGCACATCCTAAAGCTTGCCGAATGAACTTGGATTGGCTAGGCAGAAAGACTCGGTCCAAAGCAAAGACCCTTTTTTTCTTTTACTCAACCTTCTTGCTAAGCTTGAGCGTGAAAAAAAGAACATTATTGTCGAAGCTCGATGACGGTGTGCAATGAGCTCAGAGTTCCCTCATTTCATCATAGTGCGACCACTCAAAGTTTCCGCTCGGTAAGGAGCACCAAAAGGAAGTGAAAGTCCATTTTCGAAAATCTTGGGTTGAAGTGGAGAACACAAAGGATCGATCTATAGTGTCACGAATGATGACAATTGATGAGGCGATAAATGACTGCGGAAACTAAACGTTTAATGGGGGCGAGCTTGTGCCCAAAACTAAATAGAAATAAGGCTAGCGTCGCAGGCGTCGATGGCGGCGTAACAGCATGATCAAGCGCTGGGGCAAGACTGACTGGGGCTCGCCACGCGGAGCTCCTTTTGTGCACGTACGGACTTCTGAAACAATCGACGTAGAAGGTTCCGTGCATAGAACATTCGGACCGCAAATAAACAACAATGTCCTCGAATTCACCAGAATGCGACATCTACAAAATGGGGTGTCATTTTTTAATTAGGGTGTCATTTTCCCAGGACCATTAATCCTGCGCTGCCCAAATTGTTAAAAATAAAAACTTTTTTTCATTATTTGGGGGAGGAGGGGGGGGGGGGGGGGGGGCTTCGGAATTCCGAATTCCGAATTGACAGAAATTTTACCGGCGGGTGTTTTTCTGAGTTTTTTTGGATTTATCGGAAAACACAGAGCCCTTAATATAAGTAATACAGAAAGTGTCCAGAGAAAGGCAATCAGATTTGTTTACCACAAATACAGTCGTTTCGATTCCCCAACAGAACTACTAAAGAAAGCTGGTTTATTGACTATTGGTGATTGTGTAAGACTTAGTCGACTAAAATTTATGTTGCTCCTTTTAAACGATGCATTGAAAATAGATAAAAACAAGTATGTTAAGCTATCGGAAGCGAAAGCCACTAGACATAAACATAGCGACACACTCGTTGAGTATTTCTTCCAATAATAACAGTTTCAAACACTGATTTTTTTCTTCAGCCATAAGAGACTGGAATAGTTTAGGTAGGCACTTTTTTAGCTGTACAAGTGTTGTGTTGTTTAGTGATGCAATTGAAAAACAACTACTTTGTCAATTTATGTATTGACACAGCAAAGCGGAGAAAATATCTGCCCCGTCACGTGATATTGGTCACTACGTCACCTGGATGGATGGATGAATACGGCTGAGCCCTTTGGATCGGGCGGTAGCTTACGCCACCTAGCCATCGAGCGATGGCAGCGCTCCAATCGGTCGGGGCTAATGCGAAGCGCAAGTTCGTCTGACTCGTTTGCAAGGTTGTGGTGACTTCAGAACGCCGAGCTCTGATTGAAGGATAGTGGGTAGAACTCAAGGCGGCTTGCTTTGAGGTCTACCTATTCTTCAATCAGAGCTCGGCGCCTCTCTGACGTCACCACAACCCCGGCAAAAGTAGCAGACGATACTTGCGCTCCGCATAGCACCACTCAAGGACGAAGAGAGTAGCCTGACAGGCTACTCCTTCGAGAGTGCAAATAGGCAAAACAGAGAGAGGGTTGGTGTTTCTAAACGCAGCATATCCGGCGGTTCTCCCTCAAAAGGCTAGAACAAACAAAGCAGAGAAGCAGCGGTTCGTTTTCAAACAGGACAGAGACCGAAGACCGAAGTTTCGATCAGCACGACACGCTTACGTGTATCCAAAAGTCGGCCAGTTCCATGGTCCGTCGATGCTGGTCTCCGTAGCGAATGGCGTCCGCGATCAGCTGGAACGGAGCACGCCGTGAACACCGGGAAGACGTTTTTCGAGCTCCGGCGCCTTTCCATCTCCCTTACCCTTTCGGCGTAGCCCCGTGCCTCGCCCGCTCGCACATGGTTTAGCTCGATCCTCTCGTGCTTCAGTAGAGCGGTGACCGTCTTCCGAATCTTGTCGATGCGGCCCAGCGGACCTTTCGGGTTCGAAAGGTTCCTATGCCGATGTGTAATATTAATTCGCAATTTTGGGATTAGACGCGAAATATCAGCCATGCTGAATACTGGTGCCGTGGTGCTTTGGATTGCATTGGATAGTTTTGGAGTCACTGGAGCCACTACCCCACTGCTTCGCACCAAATAAATAATTATTTGAAATTAATTTTAAAATACATGTAATTGAAAATAATAAAACATTATTTTTACGCTTATACATATTTTTCAATAGCTTTACTTTCGTTACAAGGTTCACGAGCTTCGAACCCGCCGTTAGTGCGGTCCTTTCCTTCTTTTATTCCGGCAAGAAGTCGCCAGCATGGGTAAGCGCTCTCATTGTCTCGAGAAATTTACACAAAACAGGCATTACGGCAGCTCTGAATTTAGTAGAAGAGTCAGATTTAAGGGTATCCTGTTCTTATATCCATGGAGAGGTCTCAGACGACTGAGAAATGTTCATCGGTACACAGCAGTAGAGTTGAGCCGACTGTTTGACCAAGATGGCGACTAGCCTCCACGTGCCAAGACGTGTCTGACGAACCAGGGCGTCTTGGTTGCAGGCAAGCCTCGCGGATTGCGCACGGCCAGGAAGCACCGCAGCCACCGCCGCGAGCAGCGGTGGCACGACAAGGACTACAAGAAGGCCCACCTGGGCACCCGGTGGAAGGCCAACCCTTTCGGAGGCGCCTCGCACGCCAAGGGCATCGTGCTCGAGAAAGTGTGAGTACTCCCTCTACTTTGCTCCGTAAATGAAGATTCCCCGATCGCGAGTGCTGCTTGCGTCGGCCGTCCTGCGAACGAGGTTGCCGGCCCGTCCAAGGCGCTTTCAGCGATCTGCAGAATGTCCCTTGCATACGGTCTTTCATCGCCACCCTCAACTCGGACAGCCTTTGCTGGTGGCTATGTTCAGCAGTCTTTTTAGCCGTAAAAACAATTTTCGGTGCTCTCGCTCACTGTTGTTGAAAGAGCTGACGCTGAATAGGGATACAGGAATAAGCTATTCGCCCCGGCATCATGCTGGCCGCCACACGCGAAACTGTTGGCCCCGCCGGTTCCAACAGCACCGCGTCCCTGGCAAATCAAGCTGGTCCTGCTTGTTCGAATCGCCGAGGAGCGGTTTCTGGGCTGCTATGCAGCTTGCCAGCCTTTCCTCGGCGAATCTGAGGCGCACTGTTTGGCCTCGGGGAACCTAGAAATGGTTTGCAGCTACAGCTCCAACGAGCTGGTGATCCTGTTCGACCATTGTTGCTCCAGGGTGCCTGTTGTGTGGCGCGTCCTCAAGGAGTCTTATTCTTGTATTTCTGAATTACCTCATTTACTGTTGCTAATGGCCACCCTGTCATACCTGCTATAGCCCCCTCCAAATAAGCATCCTCCCGGGCGCAGATCAACTATGCGTTGCCATTCCTTCATCGGCACTCTCGACATTTTGATGTGTCACCCGAATACTGAAAGACAGGTGCGTTGGAGCTGTTAAGTGGGCGATAGGTTTTCACGAGAAAATAGCTCGAAGCCAAGTTGAGCTCTGCTTGAAAGTTTGCGATTGATTTATGTTGCTTGGCATTTACCATAGAGTTGTTATAATGTACACTAGAGGTTCAACTGGCGCTAGTGGCTACACGACTTCTGGGTGCAAGTTGAAGCAGACAGCAACCAGTCTATTCTGTGTGCTCCTGTGTATTCCTATGGGAAAACGTGCGTGCATTTTCTCTCTTCGCCATGAAAATAACACAAGTAACTTGTTATTTGGGCCATACCGAATAATGTGCGTCTTTATTAACATTGTAAGGCATAATTTCTTTAGTTACATCATTTTTCTTTACCAGTGAATAAGGTTAAACTTGGCTATATTTCGGACCCAAACCTCTGTTCCATAGCAGGTATGTAAAAGCGAGCAACGATTCTAAGCAAAGTAACAATCAAAAGAAATGTAGAGTGTTTTCAAGGTTTGCCAGCATTCCGGTGGTGCTTACGTATTGCTAATGTGCAAGTCCTGTCACTAATGAAATTTACCTAGTCGGGCATCTTTACGAGTGGTTAAAAACGTTCGAAAGGTGTCTGTATTATTTGCTATGCCGGGCAGCTTTTATCTGTCACCTGTTCTCTGGCTTCTCTCCATTTTCAAAGATTTCGAGTGTGCAGGTGATGTTTTGAATGCAAATCGAGCATCTTCGCACATATTCAGTAGCAGAAAGAAAAATAAAGCAAGACTTATTTATTGCAAATCGGACTACATTACATGGCCTTCGATTTGTTTTGATTGTCTGCATGCACAAGGAGTTACGTAACCAGTGTTACTGCATAGTTCTTGCCGTCTCCCTTGCTTTTCCACGTGTCCATCATTCATTTGACATGTATATTCCCCGTGCTGGAAAGCGTCTATGCCCTGTTTGCACTTACGGTATCAGACAGTGCACATAAATACATGTACAAAGTTGTTTTAGCACCGTTTTTAATGCCGTGAATTTTATATAATTGCCGTAACTGCACCAAATTTTTCGTCTGCGTGACAGAAATGTTTCAGTCTACGTAGTATATAAGGATTATTCGTGATATTTGCTCTTATAATTCTGTGCAGGGAGAATATGCGCTCGCTTTTTCCCATGGATATACTGGCTGTTTCAAGGAGCGGCCAGGCTCTTTAAATCGACCGCAAAATTCGGTTTCTCAACCTATTGCATTCCGACTTTGTACAGCGTTGCCCACAGATTGTGCATTCTTTTTTGTAAAATTTGCAAAGAGCGAACTTACCCGAGGAACAAGTGAAGAAAGGAAAAGGCTTAGCTCCTATGGAAACGCAGTGAAGCCACCGGTCTTCAAACAGTAGGGCGCCGTTTCGCACGGGAGGCAGGAGATGGCGCAAGCGGTCACAACGCCAACGAACGGGCATACGGCGCCGGGAGCCGGCGTCTTTAGCAGACGAGGAACAGCAGCTCCCTTTTGTTAACGCACCTGTTTTGCTGCGACTGTCGCTGCCTGCGGGACGCGTGCCACTTTTTAATCGAACAAATTGTCTGCTAAAGACGCCGGCTTTTGGCGCTGTATGCTCGTTCGTAGGCGGCAGTTGGCGTCGCGACCGCTTGTGCCATCTCTTGTCTCCCGTGCGAAACGCCGCCGTATGGGTTGAAGACCGGCGGCTTCGCTGCGTTTCCATAGGAGCTAAGCCTTTTTCTCTCTTTACTTTTTCCTCAGGTAAGTTCGTTCTTTGCAAATATTACAACAAAAAAAAAATGCACCATCTGTGGGCAGAAGCTGCATAAATTCGTAGCGCGATAGGTCAAGAAACTGAATTCTGCGGTCGATTTAAAGAGCCTGGCCGCTCCTTGAAACGCCCAGTACATTACTGGAAGTCAATTTCCGACTGGTTGCTTCAATTTGCAACAGCACACTTGCGCCAATTGAACCTCTAGCGGACATTATAATAACTATGGGTTTTATGGTTCCAGGGAGATTGCCTATGCTTGTGCTAACTTCTTGCATCTGTTGATTTGCGGCCCTTTGCTCTGGTGGCAAGACTCTCGCAAAGTAAATAATATGCACTTCTAGACTATTATTCTGATACCTCCGGTAACAATATGATGCATGTGCAATGTCGATAAATCAACAGGGGGCACTGATAGTACTGCGGGTCACTTCATGCTCATTGATTGTGATAGTACTTTATGGAGCTTCTTCATCGGGTGGTAAGCTCTCATCCTGTTCATTCAACCTGGAGAAGTGTTAAAAGCCTGAATCGGAAAAACCAGTGCTCTAATGGCCACTACTGGCAGAGCAGCCGACATGCGAAGCGACCATCCTGCGCGTATCGCGGGCGCAGAGTTTCCGATTTCAAAACTTTAAATAAAGTTTGTCAAGAACCTGTCAAACAGCAAACGTGCGTTTAGGCGCGCGGAGCAAGCATTTGCTCAAATGTCTAATCACCGCTGTACATGTACAGCGACGACCGTCAAAAGGTTCGGTGCTAAACAGATCAACTGGGCGAAGGTGTTGCCTGAGGCAGTGTGACAAAGCGTCGACAAAGGAATTGGAGGTAGACTGTTACGTGTGATTGTGTGCTGTTGAAATGGGGCCGAGGTTGACGGGACTCCACTGTATCCTCAGAGGCGTGGAAGCCAAGCAGCCCAACTCGGCCATCCGCAAGTGCGTCCGAGTCCAGCTCATCAAGAACGGCAAGAAGATCACAGCCTTCGTGCCCCGCGACGGCTGTCTCAACTACATTGAGGCAAGTATGCCCTAATCTAGACACTTGACTTGGCAAAAGAAGTTGACGAGAAATCTGGCAGCTGTGATTAGCTAAGGCCACACTTGGCCTTGGTGTTGGCCAATCATAGCTGCTGAGGTTTTCGCCAAGGGTCCAAATTAGGGCCCCTGTTGTCAAATCTCCTTGCACTATTGGGGAGGAGGACAGACCGTGACGCCCCAAGCGGTTAACTTTACAACTACACGGATGGGGACGACGAATACAATGACTCAGCGCTCTGCCGACATAACCGAACGCGGCGTCAGCGTTCGGCTGGAGTTCGTGTTCTCCGGTGAGGGGGAGGAGGGGCTCTTTTGTTTCCACTACGGCCTGCATGAACAATGCAGCATGCCCGGTCCCAGCTCAGCACAAAAGCCGAAGTGGGTCAAGCTTGCATTTTCTGAGAATAGATCCGGCACTTAACGTCGCTTCGTCGATTGTTAGTATTTTTTACATTAAACTGTGCCCCGCGCTGTATTGTAGAAGATGACATGCACATGCCCATAAGGCCTGTCGGCATGTGCACAGGCCTTGTGTTGAGTAAACACCGAGCATGGGGAAAACAAACGGGTCAGAGCGCCCCCTATAGTTCGATCTCCTGCCCAATCGGTGACTGAGAAACATATAAGGCGACAGTTTGAGGTGCATCCTTACGGCAAAACAGGGCTCATTTTGTGTGAGCGCCTTTTTGTCAAGCATGACACGCAGTCTTTACTGTTCAGCAACTATGTCACTCACCAAACGTGGCTTTTTTTTTTTTTTTTTTTTATATTATTAGTGCGGTAAGGGGAAGGGCATAAAATGACAAAGAGTGGAGCACAAGAATAAATTGTCACTTGCATTCGCCACGAACTACGCCCTCCCCACGTAGTTCCGTTTGGGAACAAATGTATTTTAATAAGTATCTGTATTTCAAAATACTTTTCCTTTTTTTTTTTTTTTTTTAAGTATCTTGAGAATGTCTTGTATAAAAGACAAATGTATCTTAGTGTCTGTATTTTGTGCCTTAAAATACATGTGTCAGTATTTGTATTCCCGAATACTTTTTGAAGTATGTGTCCATCCCTGGCGGTTGGATACTATAGCTACTGAGCTACTAGCGCAGCTGGTCTGGAAGTGTAATTGATTTTATTTGAAAGCTAGCCTTCTGGCAAGAGCTTTTGCGTGAGTGCTAAATAAATAAAATCAATAAATGACGAAATATATCGTAAAAGATTATCTAGCCTAAACACCACGGAGCATGGTTTGTGCAGTACACATTTTGTGCTCCCTTTTCTTTGTCAGCGTGCGGTGAGCCTTCATAATTTTTTAACTTGCTTTCACCGTAGCCAAACCACCGTAGAGGGTGGTTTGGCTTGCATGAAAAACGGGTGCTGTGTCACCATTTGGTGACGACTCTTATCGCTTCGTGCCCAAGGAATGGTGCATCAATGTTGCTCGAGTAGCTTTTGAAGGGGGTCTATTGAAGTTATCTCAATAGCTCTTTTGAATTTAGACGTAATAAATAGCATCCCAGAAAGAGTACAGCCAAGGTATTTCAAATATATTTCTCTAGACCACCCAAAGGGTCTTGACCCTGGTACACCGCACAATGCGTTTGTGTGAATGGGACGCTAAGGCCGCATTAAAGTTTTAGTCCTATAATCAAGTACCAAATTTTGGAGGCTCGGGAGGAGCTCTGGTTGAGGAGATGCCGTCACACTACGGTCGTCACGTCGAGATCAATGTGAGCTTTACGCATTACTCGCGCTCAAAGTGGTTCTCGCAAGATTTGCTTGTTGGAGGAAGAAATGATGGCAACGATGTCTTGGCAAGCTAAAACAAGGCTAGTCTAAGATGCAGCAACATATATCTTAATGCGGCGCACAAAGGGGACTAACAGTGTGCTAGGAGCCCAACTTGCTACAGTTCTCGAGGTGAACGTAATAGTTGCGATTACAGTTTTCAACTGCAAGATAAAAACCGGCGGTTGATTGGTCAGCCTTGGCATCGTGTTGTGCAGGGCACTGAGAGACTGGTATGTGTGTTTCAGGAGAATGACGAGGTGCTGGTGGCAGGATTCGGCCGTAAGGGCCACGCCGTAGGAGACATTCCCGGCGTGCGCTTCAAGGTGGTCAAAGTGGCCAACGTCTCCCTGCTGGCCCTCTACAAGGAGAAGAAGGAGCGCCCTCGCTCATAGGCCCCAATAAACATCCCCTCTCATCCGAGCCTCTTCTACTCTCATCTCAGGGTCAAAAGTGTTTGCACCTGGCTCGAGTTGCAAATTGTGTATCACTTTGCGTCTTACTTGTGTGTGGGACGCTCAGTTGCGGGATGTATGAATGAAATAAGGGTTGTACTGAGCTAGTTGGTTCATGGTATTGGTGGTATTAAAAGGCGAAAAAAAAAGGGGACGAAGAAGATGCAAACGGAACAAGCAAGTGCTAACTTTTTAGCACTAATTCTTTGTATATTTTTTTTTTTCTTTTTCATACTTCTTAATATTTTTGAAGAAATGATGAATCAAATGTTCCCCGGGACCCCTGGCGAAAGGTCAGTTCCGGTACTGTTTTATGAGGCACATAAACAAGGTAAGTACTGTTCATGTGCAAGTTCCATGAGGGTATTCGCTTACGACTCGGGCATGTGCAATTGTGTTTTATTGTCGGTCACCATTAATGAGACCGAATGTTTGTGCTATGAACGGAAGTGATTGCTGCACCACAGTGCTTACCCTGCTACATTTCACCAAAATGGGAGCAGTTTGTCCCAAAAGTTCATTTCACTTCAATACGAAGACTAATATTTCAGATGTCGCTACTCTGTTGGATTTTTATGCTAAGCCTTTAAAAACTTTTGCTTTTCACTCGAAAGGATGTGCAACTCAGTTTTTTCTTTTTATTGAACATGACTCATCTGATGCGCTGCAGCACAGCTGCTGTAGACCCTTTTCGAAATTCTGTTTGGCCACTTCGATGACATGCTAGTGGCAGCCTTTTGATGGCTGGTAGAGGAATTTGTAGGCAGGCGCCTGATGGTTCCAAATTTCAGTTAGCTGTATTGTTTGATGTCGCCGAGACTAAAGTTGCTGGATCCTGGGAAAGTAGTGCCATTGCCTTACCTGCCTGCTAGCCGGACACAAACGAGTACCAACATACGGACGACCAAACCTCACAGGGTGATTGGCTGATTTCGGTTGCCATGGCAATTGCCATTTCGGTTCATTCAAATTAGAGATTCCGTAACCTTTTTTAAAACCTAAGGTTCGAAGTTCAAACCAGGGGGTTTGAAAGGTCAGAAGTTTCGCTCTGTCGAACTTAGCATTTATAAACTATAATTTCGAACTTCCAAGCTTATTGTAGACCGACACGTGGACTTGATGTTGGAATGGCGCTGCAGTCACGCTGGAGCCGGGTGGTGTAGGCAGAAGGGTGTGCATTTTCCACGGGCGTTGTGCATTCCAGCATGCGACAAAGCTGTTAATGCACCGAAAGGTTTAGCAAAAGTAGTGGAGCGAGTTTCCACAAGTTCCTGGTTGACCCTGAAAGGCGCAGAGGTGGATAAGATCCGTGAATCAAAAAGAATGGTTGCCTCGCGCGGACGACCATTTGTGCAGCATGGTCGTCCGCGCGAGGGCAGGGCGGGTGGGTTAACACCCCCCCTGCCCCCCCTAGTGATGAACGCGCCGTCCAAAAAGGGTGACCCAAATGGTGCGAGCTCTCCGTGTCGTGCGTACAGCCATTTCCAATCGAGGTGCATGACGTGTCAAAAACTAAATGAATGACGACGTGAGCTAACAACGTCTGTAGCAGCATCATCAGGTCGGAACTCCAGCAGCCCTTGTTTACGGTGCACGGATCGCCTCAGGCCATCCATGCACAGTTTGTCTCGACGCCGCTCGGGCTCGGGTAGCGAGCTCAAATAGTCTGGCATAACATACGACATACGTTGACAGGAAATATGATGCACAAATAAAACTATAGTCCGTTGCAACCTAAGAACGAAGGGCGAGGGTAAGGGGCCGGGGAGGAGGAAGCAGACGGAACGCTAAAGAGAGGAGGAGGTTTCTCCCTCTCTTCTCCAGCGTTCCGTCTGCTTCCTCCTTCCCGGCCCGTCTTGCCCTAGTCCTTCGTTCCTAGGTTGCAACGGACTATAGAAGCATCTCTACGTCAACAGTGGGTGCACGCCACACAACGCAATGGTGAGAACACGGAGAGTGTGGCCGCTTCTACCCACATAGCTTCTGCGCATGCGCGGCCTTCAGGCCGTGTTGGTATACGCTGGGCAACGTTACTAAAACACTCAGTTGGGAAACTCCCATAGAGACAGCTTTGAAAAAACGGCCCCAATCTGTCTCCGAGCACCGAGCTAATGACGAACACAACGCCACCATTTCTCCCGCAGCGGCCACTCGAAGAGCTGCACGTGACTTGTATTTTGGCTTTTAGAACAAATACAGCGGTAAAGGTTACCGGCGCGGCGCGTCCCCGTCTCCCCGGCGGACGCGCCGCGTTCAACTGCCGAAGTTAAAGGGGCGGTGCAACAATTTGCGGACTTTGGCTAATTAATTGCGGGAATTGATCCCGGCTACATATAAAACGAAGGACCGAAAACTATTCTTTCCTGCTTGCCCTAGTTTTCATTAAAAAAAATAAAAGAAATTGGTATCTCCGGCACCCCTCAACTCAACATTGAAGCGGCACCAGCTTCGCCTGTGACGTCATTCGGAGTGGCGTTGGTTTCCGGTTGGGTTGTTCTGGCTTCCGTTTACCCAGCGCTCGCCGGCTCGCCAGGCTCGCCGCTCTCCCGCCGATTCCCGACCAACATGGCGGCGTGGGCGGACGGCCTGAGTGGCCTGAGCGACGTCGAGCGCAAGATGCTTGCGACGCGGCGGGCAGTCAAAGTCGAAGTCCAGGTCGAGACACCAGGAACAATAACGATACCACGATACTGCGGACCACGAGCAACGCACTCCGTCGAGCGAGGGAAAGACAAAACGTCCGGGTTGCTCGTGTAGGCGCCACGGGCGGCGACGGATGACGGCGACGGCAGGTTTTGTTGACTTGCGGTAGATGGCGCCACAAATAATTCATACCCTTTTAGCGGCAATATTAGGCTTTTGAAGCGTTTCTGCATGCCTAAACAACAAGATTTTTTAAACTTAACGTTAAATCAAGCTTAGAAGTGCCTAACACTATCACTTACAAAAACCACTCCGAATGACGTCACACCACAGGTTCCATTTGCGGCCACCATGTGGCCGCAGGTTGGGAAAAAAATCGTTTTTTATTTTGCGATTACGCAGCGAAATAGAGGTATTTCGGGGTATGGTGGCACTTTTTCTCTTACTTATGCCGAAGTAAACAATATAAAAAATAGAAGCTGCACATTCGTTCAGTGTTAAAATCATTGCACCTCCCCTTTAAAATGCACCTAGGGCGGGACACGCTACCTGAAAGGCCCGCTGAGGCATGGTTGTATGAAAACAATGCTAATTGTTCCGCAAAACCCTGCGAACTAAAGATGATAAAAACATCACGCGCCCATCATTTGGTACTAAACTCCAATAAATTTCATACAAAAAGAGTCTTTTCCTTTTGTTTTTACGCAAAAACAGGATTTCAAAAAGCTCGAGGTGACCATAGTACAGACAAACGAAAAAGAGTGGCGCTGTTGTCGCATTTAGCTCGGTCTCGGGTCTCGGTGGCATAGAGATCATACATACTCGGTGGACGCCAGCGGCCCAGGTTTCGACGGCGAGTTTCCCAACTGAGTGTTTTAGTAACGTTGAACTTGACACTGGGTAAACAGAGCCGCTCAGTGGAGCCACTCCGCACGTTCGATTTACCTCCACCTGTGCACATAAGTCTAGAGCAGTATACTTCCGGGGTGTGCATTGAGATACAACCGAAAGTACACTGCCCTACACTTCTCTGCACCGGTGCAGGTATATTGAACGCAGCTATTACCGGCCCCAGATCATGTGGCCCTTTCTTATGGCAGCCAGTTGTGGATGTGACTGCTGCTCGTTTGCCTCTATTTCTTTCTGCAACAGCAAATTCTGAGGAGACAAAAATTAGTCTTTTCCGTGGGTTATCAACTAAAAGAAATAATTCTCGTTTTACAGCCCCTTTAAATTTGTCCCGATTATACTGATAAGCTCAGACAGGCACAGGATGTGTTTTGAATAAGCTAGGCGGGTCCATATCACATGACCAAATGACGCGTTAGCGAGCAGCGACATTTGAGCGAATCGCCTTTTAGCGAATAACGGGGGCGCGCGTTAACCCACCCGCCGCGCTGCGCTTACGCCGCGAAGCGAAGCATTTTTTTGCAATGAGCCGCGAAGCATTTTTGCAAGGAGTCGCCGCTTCGCGGCGACAGTCTGCGGCGGCTCATTCCAAAATGTGAACCCATTTGGCCCACCCGAAAACGCCGCTTCGCGGCGTCCGACTATTCGCTAAAGTGTCATTCGGTGAAACGTGGGCGTTTGCTAGAACGTCATTCGATCAAGTGAGTGCCTCCCGTCTGCTTATAACACCGGCTGTCGGCGCCGTGTGCTTGGTTGTTGGCGGCATTTGGCAGTTGGCATCGCAACCGCTTGCGCCATCTTTTGTCTCCCGTGCCAAACGGCGCTCCCATATGAGTTAAGCCTTTTTCCTTTTTTTTTTTTTACTTTTTCCTCATGTATGTTCGCTCTTTGCAAATTGTATAGAAAGAATGCACCACCTGTGGGCAACGCTGCACGAAAGCGTAGCGCGATAGGTTAAGAAACCGATTTTCGCGGTCGATTTTAAAGGGATACTACAACGAAATTCCGGCGCTCATTTTTTGGTGTATATGTGTTCAAAGGAGCAGCATCACATCGAACATACCAATATCTTGCTAAAAAAGTCACGAAAAGGAATTTTAAAACGAATTAAACGATTAGCAAAGAGCACCTGGTGGATGTCGCTAACGCCTCGTTTGTAATGCCCGTCTAGGAACCTTGACAGCTAGTGACGGAGGTTGTCTCGCCTCCGGCCACGACGAGAGAAGAGGGGAACGAGGAACTCCCCTCTTCCCGAGAATGCCTTTTGTGTGTCGCAGAAGTCGCTATTGTCCCCCTACAAGATTACGGAAGATTAACCCGTCACTCAAAATTCGTACAAAAGCAGCCGCTTCGGTGGCTGGAACGACTAGGCCACCCTCTCAACGTCAGCCTTGCCGTAGCTTTGCTCGTCTTGAGACGACCTACGTCACGATTGCATTGGATGTCACGTGGTCTCCGCCGGGCCTTCTCCGAGCGCTTGCCAGAGTGGGCCGTTTATAACGAAAAATACAGCCACCAGGCTCAAAATACAAACGTGCGATTGTCATTTACGGATATTGTGGATCATATTCAACCTATTTTTGAACACGACGGGAATATTTCAAATTTCGTTGAAGTATCCCTTTAAAGGGATACTACAACGAAATTTCGGCGCTCATTTTTTGGTCTATATGTGTTCAAAAGAGCAGTATCACATGGAACATACCAATATCTTGTTAAAAAAGTCTCGAAAAGAAATTTTAAAACAAATTAAACGATTAGCAAAGAGCACCTGGTGGATGTCGCTAACGCCTCGTTTGTAATGCTCGTCTAGGAACCTTGACAGCTAGTGACCGAGGTTGTCTCGTCTCCGGCCACGACGAGAGAAGGGGGGAAGGAGGAACTCCCCTCTTCCCGAGAATCCCTTTTGTGTGTCGCAGAAGTCGCTATTGTCCCCCTAGAAGATTAACCCGTCACTCAAAATTCGTACAAAAGCAGCCGCTTCGGTGGCTGGAACTACTAGGCCATCCTCTCGACGTCAGCCTCGCCGTAGCTTTGCTCGTCTTGAGACGACCTACGTCACGATTGCGTTGGATGTCACGTGCTCTAAGCTGGGCCTTCTCCGAGCGCTTGCCAGAGTGGGCCGTTTATAACGAAAAATACAGCCACCAGGATCAAAATACAAACGTGCGATTGTCATTTACGGATATTGTGGATAATATTCCACCTATTTTTGAACACGACGGGAATATTTCAAATTTCGTTGAAGTATCCCTGAGCCTGGCCGCTATTTGAAATAGGGAGTCGGCGAGTACGTAGGCTCTCTAATTTGAAACATTCTGTTGAGCCGCCCCTGCCCACGAGCACGATGATGTTTGACTGGTTTGACCGCGACTTTCGATCACTTTCGAGTCCGATCCGGACAGCGAAGTGGCCGAAGCAGCCGAAGATCCAAAGTAGTTTGAGATGTCAAAATAAGGAGAAAGAAATATTTGCACAGAGGACGGTTGATAAAAACAGCTCTACGTCTTCAGGAAAAAGGCGTCACTGACGTCAAAATTAAATTTAGCATTATTTTTAAAGTGGACGTCGAAATAGTCACTGGCTCGTACAGCGCCATTTTTTGGCGAAGACTGAGCGTTCGGCGATGCATAGTTTATTCTTGCTGTTAGAAGAGTAAAAAAAAAGCACGTAATCTTTTTTGGGGACAAAAAACGGGTCCCCGAAAAACCAGTCAATGTCTCAACGTTAACCTGTCCGTGATTCACCATCAGTGGATTCACCCAATTCACCTTTTAAAGTGGCTACTGGTGGCTACGTTCGGCTCGTCACTTGTCTTTTTGAGCTGGCAACTATGTAATTTTTCGCGTCGGGCGCGTGAAGAACGTCCGAAAGCTCGTGACGTCCCATCAGTGGTAGCGATGCAAACATTTTGGCGCCGAAGAGCTGCCAATGACGCGACGAATAAGCGGCGGAACTGTGCATTGCTGTAACACTGGATTCATGTGATTGCCGGGAGACATGAAGCTGGTTGATCACGTGGTGAAAAGCTTTCGTGTCGCCAAAGTGTTCCGCGAAAACACCGATCGGATTAACAGCATCGACTTTTCTCCTAATGGGGAGACGCTCATTTCGAGCTCGGACGATGACTCTATCGTTATATACGACTGTGAGAAGGGCACGTAAGTTGCAAGGGCTGCGGGCGTCGTAGTGCCCGGGCCTAGCGCCCTGGGCGAGCGACATGTAAACAATGTGTGCCGTTAGGCCTAGTGCTAGGCCTAGCGTCACCACCGCCGTCGTCGGCGGCCGGGGGTTGTGACGACGCTGTGCCCGAACTTGCAGGCACAAGCGGACCCTCAACAGCAAGAAGTACGGGGTGGACCTGATTCATTACACACACGCGGCCAACACAGCCATTCACAGCTCCACCAAGGTGGATGGTGAGTGCTGCAGTGCCGAATGGCCCGACTCGCGCTCACCCGACGTCCGTCGCTGTCATGTTCGCAGATACCATCAGATACCTGTCGCTGCACGACAACAAGTATATCCGCTATTTCCCGGGACACACAAAAAAGTGAGTGCACGGCCCGGTTCCGACCTGCCGTTCTCTCTCGCGCGCTTCTGAGGGCGTTACGCGCCAAGCTCGAACCAGCGCCTCGATCACTTCGCCGGCCTCCGGAAGATCGCGTTGGTCGGTGCAGTGTCGGCGGGGGCCGTTCTTTTTATCTATACGCGCCTAATGTGTTGCTGCCACGAGGTTGCGCGTACCCTCTTCGTCGTCAAATGAATGGTTCAAGCAGACGATATCCTGCAAAAGTAGGGAAAAAAAAAGTATGGCGAAGTAGCCCTACGTTAGAGGGACATGGTCTGGCATGTTTGGTCCACACGCAAATATTCATGACGCGCTCTATATAAAACAAATTCCAGACGAATGTGCACTGAACTGCTACTGTTGCCGTTGTTCAAGTAGACTGTGCTGAGATACGAAGTATTGGCTGTCCCAAAATACATGGTTCAGGACTGGAACGAAAAGCTGCTTTCCGTGAACCCGCAAGCAAACGCGAGTGACTTTTAAGAGAGAGGCTCGTGCCAGCGCTCGTGGCGTGCACGCGCATTTTCTGCCCAATCTTCTCAACTGCAAATTTCTGAAAAGATTGATGGTTTAACGACTCGCGTGCCCTGCATAGCAACCAAATAGCTCTAGAGTAACGACACCTCAGCCACTTGTTGCTTAAAACCATTGTTGCCAGTTATCTGAAATGAGAGGAACTGCTTATTAGTCCTCCAGAAATGCTAACACAGGCCGCGACATAGCTAAGCGACGTCGCCCGAGCTTCCTCGTGCCTTATCTAACGCTCGGAAAGTCGCATTTTGCAATTGTATTGCCAGTTGCACTCATACTGCTTTAGGCAACAAAATGGTGGTGCCCATGAGATGAAGAGTGAGAATACTCAAAGTGTTGCTTGCGCGTGGTTGTGTGCCTGACGCAATGACATGTGTCTCCCTCCCCAGGGTGGTGACGCTGTGCACCTCCCCGGTGGACGACACTTTCCTGTCGGGCTCCCTGGACAAGTCCCTGCGGCTGTGGGACCTGCGCTCCCCCAACTGCCAGGTGGGCTCGCCCCCAAGGGCCTAGCTGGTGGGGGGTAGTGCACACGCCATTCGGGGGAAGGCTGGGATCTGGTCGTTAGCATTGCCATCGGTGCGTCACTCTTTCCGTTCTCCGTGTGTTTCCCGTTAGACGGGGCGTTAACAGTTTGCCGAACTGGCTCGTGTTTTTGTTTTCTACGGTAATTATTTCCTGTATCTGTCGGTCGGACGATGGCCCGAGGACTTCCCCAAATGCTCAAGTAAGCAACGTAGCATTGCAGCAGCGAGACTGCTGGGATAACGTTGCTTTATCAAAGACCCTCCCATCTTTGGCGTATGCTACGTGGTAGCCAGAGTAGGCGTAAATAGACGAGTTAAAGTTAATTTGGGGTGACCGAGAACATTAAAGCTGGGAATCGCGCTCCGAGGAAGTTAGGCTGAAAGGACGGACAGTCAGGAACTTGAAGCTATAGACACTAGCAAAGTGTGAATGGCAGAGCACGTTTGGAACGACCGACCTCCATCACGCGCTCGTTTCGTCCCGCTTTGGCCGTGTACACACGTCGAAGTGGAAACCCTCGTCAAAAGTAGGAAGCTGGAGGTAGGACAAGCGAAGCTCCTCCCTGCCGTTCTCAACTTGTCTGTTAGTCCTTAGGGCTTTCTTTTCTCACGCTTCCGAGCGTGTGAGCGAGAACGTCTTGCATCGCGGAAAGTAGATTCGTGCACTTGACAAGGCCGGGAAGGGCGTTTACGAGCGGCGGCCTCGCAAGGGAAGTGGCCGTGGCCCGTGTCTTAGCAAGGGCGGTGTGCAGGGGGTGATGCACCTGACGGGACGCCCCGTGGGCAACTTCGACCCGGAGGGCCTCATCTTCGCTGTGGGGCTCAACTCGGAACTGGTCAAGCTCTACGACCTGCGCACTTTCGACAAGGTGAGCCCCACTCTCTAAGTTTGATCCGCTGGCGCTCAAGGGGGCCTGGGAAAGTCTCCCAGGGGGGCTCCAGTTGCACCATGGTGCCGGAACGCGTCTCTGGCCCGCGCATTTACCGTGTCCTCGATCGTGGTCCCTCGGTTTCCGTCTGTTGTATAAGCACCTTTGCCGTCGCGGTGTGGCGACGGCCGACACCCGTTGTGCTGTGGATTGCTCTTTGGCTTCACGGTCCACGGAAGCTTCGGCTGCCGGAAGTCTGTTTTTTCTGCCGGAACTCGTACGTCCGACCTCCAGGACCATGACGTTTAACGAAGGTTTATGAGTGTGCAGACACTAAATACGCCGGTCGCAGGTGCCATAGTTCTGCCGGGGCCTCCGAGATTCTTCCGGGTGACTGCTCTTTCCGGTGCTTGGAGCAAGCGCGTCAATGGATGTTGTTTGCACGCTCAATTTGTGCGGAGAGACAAAAGGGCCTTCGTAAGGCTCGTATTCGTTTTCCTCCTCAACCACTCGACTCTGCTCTAACGGCCAGATCTATTCCAGAACCCCATATGGCTCGACCAAAAGCCAAGGCACCCGTGCCGTAACAAAGGAGGGAAGGAATCCTTCTTCTCGTCAACAAACGATCCGCTCGAGCACCGCGGATAAGAATGCAAAGGCACTCGCCTCGGCATCGAAGGAGACCGAAGGTGTATAGCGAGATGGATGTATCTATCCCTCACAAAAAGAGTGGGAGATGAGGGCGCTTGGGGCTGGCGTACACAGATTCCACAAGGACACCTGGTGTTAGCTAGGTCGCATCTTTGGATGGATGTATCTTTCGCTAAGGTTAAGTGCCCATCGATCGTGTTGGTTTATGTCTCGACCTAGGTCATTTCCGTCCGGTTTCAGGGATGCACCCGTCTAATAACGAAGCTTGTCTTTGCTAGAACCACTTTTCGAGTTATTGCAAACGGAGGATGGCGGAATAAAAATTGACTTTTTGTTGTTTGTTAGGGGGTATCTCTCGATGCACACATTGTTTCGCTTTCTCAAGAGGAAAGTGTCGGTGGGAATCGAAAGTGTGTTAAATGTATGAGATCCAGTTTCTACTTCTTAGACACTCTCCTCTCTTTGAGCAGTTCAAGTGCTCATTGGCTTCATGGTGGTGAATGATAGACAATAGCCATTTCTGATTGGTGAATGCAAAGTTAAAGGTTTCTCGCGAGAAATAGGCGTCGAATATGGTAAACATCCGTCAATTCAACCTTGACTGGTCCTTGAAATTCGGTCAAAATTATCTGAAGATTGAGTTAAAAAAGGACTGAGAAAATGGTCAGAGTCACACTCTTCTTTATTGTCCTCTGTAGTTGGTGCTTCTTTTCTGCTGTTTGCTTTAAAACTGGCATCTGACAGTGTGTCTTGGGGTGCCAATGCTTTGCTGAGGGAAAAGAGGAGGGGTTTGTCGGGCGAAAAGTGCAACGGCGGGTGTTGCAGGGCCCCTTCAACACGTTCAAGCTGCCCCAAGACAAGGAGTGTGACTGGACAGGGCTCAAGTTCAGCCCCGACGGGAAGAGCATCCTCATCTCGACCAACGGGGCGGTCATCCACCTCATCGACGCCTTCCAGGGCACGCCTCAGCAGAGCCTCACGGTGGGTGCCCCTCCCTCCCCCTCCCTCCTTCGCTCACCGTCCCTCTTCTCTCTGCAGGGACACACCAACAACAAGGGGGTGCCCTTGGAGGCCTCCTTCAGCCCCGACTCGCAGTTCGTCTTCAGCGGTGAGTGCGAAACCTCTCGACGGTTGCTCCCCACATTTTCTTTCTTAGACAGAGAACGAGTTAAGTAAAGCTGCTCTCTCAAAACTGGTACATGAGGACGGCTGTGCTCTGCTTTTGTTTAAACTCTCTAGGGAAAACCGGTAATCGTCGAGGAATTTCTCGAGTCTCGAAGAGTCGGGAACTTTCACCCCAATCGGCATTGGTCGGGGAAATTGAGCTTTCCTTTCTCCGAGTGATGGCAAATGCCGGCGACGAGTGTTTGCCTGGAGCAAATGCTTGTTGGGAAATGGAATGGAAGAATATCAACAGCAGGATGGCCAACTGGACTGATCTTGAGGGAAAACGTTCCGCGGCTTTTGTGATGGTACTTCTAAACAAGAAACAAAGACTTCTGTTTGAAACTGGGAGGCCTCTATTATTCAAATTGCCACAAACTTTTTAAAGGGGCATGTGGCCTGGGAGGGTCAACTTTTGAACCCTTCACTCAAATTGTTTGTCGTGAGTGGCAGCTTCTTGGGATGGGTAGCTTTTCCTACATTGTCGTCGCGGGTGGGAACTTCTTGGAGATTGGCATTTTAAAACAGTGCCATTGAAAAGATGCAACCGGCCTTAAGAACAGTGCGCGTTTAACAATCCGCCGTAACTAAACACCATTCATTTGATAAAGAAACAGCCAAGAGGACTTTCAGTTGTCGTGGTTCGGATGCAACTTGTGGGCGTCTGGAGGGCTTGGAGCGCGCACGTGCAGCCAAGGTCCGAGATAGACACCCTGCCCTTCTCGCGAGTGGTGAGCCGCGGTTTATTTTTCTTTCACCTCAGTCCCGCGTCCCCATTTGGGAAAGAAACGGCTCGAAGTTTGGCTCCAACAACGTCGACGGAATCCCGATCGGCTCTTTTTGCGAGCTGCAATGTGGCCCCCTGGGCCGTAGGATAGTGTTTTCATTTGCGACCGATCTGGGCTATTGCGTAGGCACTCTCGAGGATCGTTTGTCATTCGGCTTCTCTGGTCTTGTTGTCCGGATCGCCCCGGGAAAAGGGGTGAGCCGCCACTGTCCTTTGCAGGGTCGACGGACGGCCGTGTGCACGTCTGGAGCACGGCGGAGGGCGTGGGGGGTCTGCGGACGGCGGTGCTCAACTGCGACCACACGGGCCCCGTCCACTGCGTCCAGTTCAACCCCAAGTACATGATGCTCGTGTCGGCCTGCACCAACATGGTGGGTTCCAGGGACGCTCTTTCTTTGTCTCCCTCATTTATTTTATTTTTAAATTTTTTTTTTGCGGGCTGAATTAGTTGCGGAAATGTGTTTCTCGGTATCGCAGGGGTGGTATGGCTGCGCCATTTTGCGCCGGACGCATTTTTCTGCGCCATCCTGCGCCATGTTGCAGAATCTGTGCCACAGCCAATACCTCGCGCCATTATGCGCCAAATCGCAAAACGTGCGCCAAAAAAACTGTTTTCTGTCTTGGTTTCTGTCTCTATTGACTCGATTGGCAACAATGAGCGCGTTTAGCTTGATCGGCCTTGCAATCCTTTGTTCTGTTTATTCTCCCTGTGTATCCCGAGTCGGAAGCGCGCAAAAAAACTCGGATTCCAAGCGCTACACCACCTGCGACTGGATTGTTATTCTCCAACCATAAGCAGTTAAGCAAGTCGGCCGAGATGAGGTCGAGTCGTTACGCGCCAGATTGCCTGAGGCTCTGCGGCCAGGGATCCAGACGTCAGCCAGCTGAAAACAAATGAGCAAAAGATTTCTTTTAGTACTTCATCGTTAGAAGTTGGAACCGCATTCTCGCAAGATAAACCGTGATTTGATAGCACTGAAACGCAATCCGATCCGAAACCTTGCCGGCCAGCAGCTCTCACGCGAGCGGTAGATCTGCTCCGCGTACTTTAACCTTGCTCCTGCTTATCGCTTCAAATACGATAACTCCGTTAATCATAGTCTGCTGCTTCGATATTTAGTTGCACGATAGGATAAACTCGAAATTTGTTGCCCAGTTCCTCCGCGCAACTACACATCCATTGCTTACGCACGTCACGTGGTTCGGACATATAATTACTATGTCGTGCACGTTTGGGCTGTGCAATAAGCAGTGCTGGTTTGCGTTTTGAGCAGCTGAAAGCCACTCAGAAAATATCAAGGACACTATCTTTAGGAACATAAGGTACTTTCTTTTTAAACATTTAGAAAGTGGAGACACATAAGGGACGATACAGACAGGACAATCTGTCCTGTCTGTATCGTCTTTTATGTGTCTCCACTTTCTAAATGTTTAAAACGCACCAACACGCTCAAATAGTACAAGCATAAAGTACTTTCTTTTTGATTCTCATTAATGCTCACAATGTTTCAAGTTTTCGCATCAGTTACACTGTTCTCCCATCTACCTAGGTCCCTAACCACTCATGTTCATCTGTGCTGCCAAGCATGATTGAAATCGCTCCCTTGCTTGTCTAAAACACAAGCTGAAGTGCAATGAAAACTAATCTGAGCTGCCCCTAGCCTGCTCCAGAATGTAGTTTTAGCTGCTCACTCCCTGGCTCCTAAACAACTGTTTCAGCTGCTCCCGTGGCTGCTCCCAAGTACATTTCATGAGTTGCACCCCTGTATTGACCCGGCGAGTGAGTTTCACGATTTTGGCTGCATAAAAACATGTGCGAAGGGAAAAAGAAATTTCGATAAATGGTTTGGATGGGGAAAGGATGTCATAAAATTAATATATGACAAAAGGGAGAAAAAGTTTAGAGCTATACTTAGGACGCAAAACGAGTTAGTATTAATCTTCATTTTTTTGTTGCACTTAAAATGAGGATTCATAAGTAACTTTTAGAGTCCGTAGGAAGCTCCCAAAGAAGCGCAATCGCCACATGACTATAGCGGCCACTTCTCCGCTGTCTGCCGCGGGCACCAACTACAAATTTGTTTTGCGCCTAAACATAGCTCTAAAAAAATGTTTTTTTCTTTGTAAATTTTTGTTTGGCATTTTTTTTACCATTTAGGCTGTTTAAAAGGGATTTTTTCCTTTGCAGATGTCCTTTAAGTGCATGGTCGTGCACAATAAAATTTTCAGTAGTAAGCTTTCTATTTTACCTTAATTGCTTTATTGCCGAAACAAGTTTTCCCGCATTCTCGAAGGTAAAAAAAAAAATACTATATAGAGTTTTGAAAATGTTCCTTAATTTTGGTGGCGAAGTTTCGTACCAACCGTCCTATATCTTTGCAGGAAGTCACCCCGGGGGAAGAGATGTACCGAATATCGGGGAAAGGGTACCTTTTCAGATGCTGTAGCAAAAAGAAAGCATGTTTTAGCTACTTTGGGGCCACTCGCTAGAACGTTTCGCTGCAATGTCGGCTATATATGGTTTGCTTCCTGGTATGGAGATACCATATTGGCACAAATATAATGCAGTTTTTTGTGTTTTTTCCTTCGAATTATTTGGGTGCAGCTTGCTTTATATCTGGAATTGAGCTTGGCCACGAGGCTTATGAGTCTGGAGAAAGCCATCGCTTTGATGAAGGAGGTGGGGTGTGAAGGGGAAGTCGGTAGTCATCATGCCATGTGAAGCGAGGAATAGAAGACATAGCATTCTCCCTCACTCCCACATTTGTACAATGCACATGCAGAAGCGGGCTTCAAGAATACGGCGAGCCAAGACTCGACAGGCCGTGTTTACGGAACAATGCAACACTAGGTGTTTATATCAGACATGTACAAGTCACACCAAAAAGTAGTCAAGTTACTGAGTATCGGCATCAAAAGTAGTTTCAGTAGAGTAGAAATTACTAAATTAGAAAGTAATTGGGTATATTACTAACTACTGAAAAAAAGGAGCGAATCACTCGTGAAGTTACATTTTATATATACTCCACTTACCCACATAATGAGTGCACCCCCCATAACGGGTACCAATATTGGGACTTTTCTTTTTCTCCTCGTGTAATTTTCAGCTCCGCGAGTCTCTAATGGCGTCCAATTTAGGTAGCCACCAAGCCGATTTTTTTTTGTCGCCAAGCGGTCGTATGAAGCCAATCCAAGCCACTCTCGTGGTGGCTGCAGGTACGTAATTGCGGAAGTGATCAACCGTGAATCCGAGCAGCGCTAACACTCGACGAAGCTTGGGTCGAGGAATATCCCAGCCTTGGACATTCTTCGCCTATCGGGTGCATCGATTTAAAAAAACACGCTGTTGCCTGTGGTCCGCTTTCAAACAGTGAAATTGTGAAAGTGGTTAGGCCTAATTTCATATAATCTGGGTCAATGTGCACGCTGCGCCGTAGGCTGAGAGTGTCTGGTAGCCCCTGGTAACAGCCTTTTCCATGAACGAAACTTGATCCGTGCGAGCAGGCCTTGGGGGTCCGCAATCAGACATCGTATGAGTTCTTATAGGCGTAGTCGCGCTATATACCCAGCGAGCACCGTTGTCGGATACTAGCTACATATATCGCATAAGAACTTAGAACGGAGAGAAACAAAGCGTTGCTTTGCTTCTTTCCGTTCTAAGTGAGTTTCGTAGGGCGCTTTTCTTTCGGCAAAAGGCGCGCCGAAAGCGCCCTAAAAAGGTTTGCAATTTATTGAGCATGGTTATACTGTGGCGCGCCCCCGGCCAGCCATGGGTGCGCCTCATCTGTGGAGACGTGCCACAGTACCTTGTTATGTCATATTGGCAGCTAATATGACATTTGCACGAAGAGTCTAAATGCAAAAATTTTGCCCCGCATAGTAAACGCCTCCTTCCAAATATTGGTAAATTTTTTGGGAAAAAAGTGTGTTCATTATGCAAGTAAATATAATATATATATATATATTTTTTTTTAGCAAGAAAGGACGAAAGTTTTATACGTTAAAGAGTTTTTTTTTTTTTTTAACCTAAAGGCTGTCATTTTTTCCAAAGATTTTCCCGCTTGCCTTTCTGATTTTTATCTTCTTTTTTTTGTTCTTGTTAGATGATATACCAAGAAGTTCTTATTTTTAGGCATCAATTGCAGATGCATGCTGTTTCTTCTTTGAGGTTTTGCATACTTTAAAGGGGAGACACTGGCTAGAAAGTCAGTTTTGAACTACTTGTGTGCTTGGAATAAAATTTGCAGGGCACATTTAGTATCATACAAAGGCAATATGCAAAATCTCACCTCTCTAGGATAAATTTGTCAGAAGTTACACATCTGTGAATGAAGCAATGGTGTTCTTTGTTAAAAGGGTACTCCGCCAATTTCTTCATGGTCCCCGATTTGCTTGAAATTTTGCTAAACTCGCCAAACAACATCGCCAAAATAGTATCCCAAATATTAGGTCAAAATAATTTTTTTTCACAAAGTTATTGAATTTACAATTTTGATCCTCACCGTGTTTTTCGAACTGAAAGTCTCTACTGGCAACAACGAAAAAGTGAAGTCAGTGGAGGTGCAGGGGTTCACTCTTTGGACTGTAGAATTTGTTCCCAACTGATTCGAAGCAGTTTAATGGTGTCGAATGAATGCTTTGGAAGCTCGCTCCAGTCCCCGCGCTCCAGCACGGAACAAATGATTGGCATATTCTATTTTTTAGACTGCTCGCCCGACTGGCAAGCTTGCCTTCCACTGACGTCACGGCACTGAAAAGGGCGGGTATATTTGAATGTTGGTTTTTGCATCATTTTCATTTGCCGATTTCGCAATAACTGTTATGAATTTCACGATACTAAATAGCATACCAGAAAGGGTAAATAAAGGCCGGGGAGTCAGAACATATAGTTAGTTGAGGTAGCTCAAAAATTGCCAGAGTACCCCTTTAAGGAATCTATTGTACACAAATAAAGTCATAAAGGAACTATTTTATTGCTTGGATGTGAAGTAGGGGGGTGTATATCTTCAGGCTATCTAATTTTTACTTCTCAAATATAAATATTTCAGAAAGGAAATATTACCTCGAAGTATGAGATGGGTTTTCTTTGTATATCAGTCTCTCAAAATGTCAGCGGTTTTCAATGATCACTCTAAATTAAAGGGGAATAAAATAGATAGCCCGTTTCCCCAGTAAATTTCAGTTAAGAAACATCTTGAATGGGACATCAAAACACTTTTATGAGTAGGGCCCTGCATATCCGCGGATTATCCGTGGGTATCCGCAGATATCCGCAGTAAACCGGCGGATGCGGATAAAAATCCAATGAATTTTGGTGGATCGGATGCGGATGTCGGGCTGCGGATGTGGATATCCACGGATCCGGATCTAA